TGAGCCGTTAGCATTGAGTCGTTAGCATTGAGCCGTTAGCATTAAGTCATTAGCATTGAGCCGTTAGCATTGAGTCATTAGCATTGAGCCGTTAGCATTGAGTCAGCATTGAGCCATTAGCATTGAGCCGTTAGCATTGAGTCATTAGCATTGAGCCGTTAGCATTGAGTCGTTAGCATTAAGCCATTAGCATTGAGCCTTTAGCATTAAGCCATTAGCTGTTGGCCAGATTGATTCCAGATGTTTCACATTCTTCAGGTTGAAACTGATACTGATCAATAGGTTTATTTGTTCTCTTTATTGAAGCTCAGAGAGGCATGCTGAGCATGGCAGCTGGATGTCCTGACCAGCTGCCATGACAACCTGAGCAGGATGGACATGGAAACAGATTCTTCAATATTTATGTTGTGTTTGAAATTAGAATTATGTAATAAAGAATTATGTTGATAAACATTGTGTTTTTATTGATATTACAAACATGAAGTTGTCTGGGATAAAAAAGCCATTTTCCATCTGATGCCTCAATAAATGACGGGTCAGCAGTGGCCCGTCATTCATTGACATTATTCCAGAACCGGGCCTATCATGGTGAAATGGTACCTGGACCAGTCGGTGTCCTCAGCTGGTCCACAGCTGGCCCGGTTCTGGACGCACATCCTGGGCCACATCTGGTGAGCCAGCACTGGGCCATGTGGGCCGTCATTCATTGAGCCATTGTAACAGTTACAAATATGCTTTTTTTAAGAAAATTATTATTTATAATGAATTTTATTTGAGAGTTTGTGAATTTGATTTTATTCAGTTTATTTTTATTAGTTGTTTTTGCCTGCAGGGGTCGCCTTTCTACCGAGGCCTGTAGGGGACAATTTACTGATCACTTTTGTGGCATAATTGAAAACTGTAACCTCTTCTTACTTTCTGCTTTAATACAATCCATGAATGTTAATATCTCATTGTGAAATATCTGAAGTTTTATATCTTTTTCTTTAGGATAAAAAGGCACCAAAAACCTGATGTCAACAGAAACGTTCCATAAGCAGGAAATAAATAAAAATACTTCCTAATTTGGATTATTTCTGAGTTATTATGGCAGGTTTATTAGTCATCTGATAGTTTTTATTGTGTTTGTTGTGTTCTAGTCTGAGTGGTTTAAAGAGCTGCTTTTATATTCAGTTCCATCATAAACATGCAGTAAATAAATTCATTTTCAACCCTCTAACTTTAGTTTGTGGTGTTTTATAATAATAAAACGTGTTTGTTATCATTAAGTCTGATTAAAATGGATTTATTCACTGCATGTTTCAGACGGAGCTGCAGTGAAAACGGCTCTTTAAACCATCAGACTAGAACAGAAACACGATTAAAACTGACAGATGACTAATAATCCCACAGTAATAACTCAGAAATAATCCACATTAGGATGGATTTTTATTTTTTCCTACTTATGGAACGTTTCTGTTGATATCTTGGGTTTTTGGTGCCTTTCTATCTTACAGAAAAAGATATTTTACAAATAGATATTAATATCCATGTTACCCTACAGAGAATATGAGGTTTAATATAAGAAAGTACAGTAATAAAGGCTCACAGTGATCAGTTATGATGCATAACTGATCAGTACAGAACTGGAAGGAAACGCAACAGAAGAACAAAGTCCCATGATCCCTCAGGGCCTCCGTACATTTTGTGTCTCCTGGATGTAGCAGTTCAATTTGTTCAGGTTAAATCCTGCTAAAATGCACCATCTGCTGGTAGAAAGTTGCATTGCATTGACATTAGAAAGCGCGAGGTATTATGGGTAAACCTGAGAGCCCTGAGGGTCACTAGAGGTCAATCAGAGGAAAGTTTATGTTTGTTTTCTCTATGGATGATGTTCATGTTCAGGTCTCTAGCATATATTGTTTATTATTGTTTGTTAGTATGTGATTATTTTTCAGTTTTCTCCGTCATTGTGGGTTTTTATCAACAGTTTTATTATAATTTCCTTTTTTTTAATGTTTTTTTTTGCCACAAACAGCTGATGCTTGTGCAGCAGCTGTTTTAATATTGTTTTTATTTTCATATTTATGGCTGCAGTTCAGAGAGGGAGTTGATTGGTTTTTACTTTTCTCTCTCAGAATTAAAGATCTCATTGAAACTTAGTTAAATGACCTAAAGGTCATCGTTACACCATGTGGGTCAGAGGGAAGAACCAGCTGTGGCTCTTCAGGGTCAGATCAATTTTGTGTGGGTCGAGTTTTACACCAAAATAATGTTTAAAGTGTAAAGTATTAAAACACTTGATGTCACTGCAGTAATCTGAAATATTAATCTAGTACAAATCACTGGACTAAACTGCCAGTCTGTCTCTAATGTGTCCTGCTGGAGACATTTATACATTTCCAGTTTGTCTAAATGAGTTTTTACTCAATTTAATCCAGATTAAACGTTGTTCTGTTTTTATAAAGAGAAGATTCACGTAACAGAACAAACTGAACTTGAGACATTTATAAAACATTATGACTGTCGGGTTTCCCACTGAAACCTCAGGGCTAAGAAAAGATCAGCTACATGCTAAAGCTAAATGATCTGTGTCTCTTTATAGTGAATTTGGCTCTTGGTGCTGAACTGGCCTAGTTAAAGTAGCAGTGTTCATCAGTCTAACAGGTCAGAGTGCTGACTGAAACTAAAGAAGTAAATCTGAATTAATGTTTTAGTTTAATTCAACCTCTAAAGTTAATCAGTTGGTTCTGGTTCTGATGCTTTGGGTCAGAACCGGGGTCGGTCCAGTTAGTTTGATTTCAGGTCTGATTTGAACCAGAGCAGATTTTTTTTATGTTTTTTATTTTGATAATTTATTTCAGACATTTCATCAACAAAACATAATAATAATAAAGATTTTATGTTTATAAGTGTAAATATATAATTTACATGTAAATATTTATTCAGTGACTTTGAGTCTGAAAAGAAAAGAACCAGGAGGAAACGCTGAGATCTGAACCCTGAAGTTTAAATGATTAAATGCATTTATTGGAGTTTATTGACTGAGGAGAAAAAGTTGGACATGTTGATCAGATTGATTGATTAGAAAAATAAAATCCAACTAAAGAATCCAGATTAATATTTAAAACCTGAATATAGCAGAAATTATTTCAATCAGTCATGTTTATTATTACAACATATTTCAAAGCTTCACATCACAAAAATATCATAAAAGTCATATAAGATTTTACACCAGTATATAAAACTTTCTAATCAGTTTATCATCAATACAAAGTCAAATATGTTTATCAATATTTTATTGATGTTTCAAAACCAGGAAGATTTTTAGTCTGAAGTGAAACTGATTCTGTTTCACAGCTTTCTGGACTTTTGTTCCAGATCTTTGCTGCATAGAAGCTGAATGTTGTTTCTCCTCTTTACTCTGTTCTGGATGCAGAACCAGAACCAGAACCAGAACCAGAACCAGCAGGTTGATCCAGCAGATTTAAAGTCTCAGTACATGAATGTAGAACTAGATGATGTAGAATAGAAACAGCATCTGTTTTTCCGGTCCAGAACCAGCAGCGGGTCAGAACCGACTTCCTGCTGCTGTCGGAACCAGAACCAGAGTCCGATGAGTTCATCTCTGATATTCAGTTAATTTCTATAATTAACAACAAATTTAATCTGCAAACAAAATGTTTTGTTTCTGTCAGTGGACCAGAACCAGAACCAGAACCGTCCCAGAACCAGAACCATCCCAGAACCAGGACCGTCCCTGCTGTCCTATCGGACCAAGACGTTGGACTCACCGAGCAGCAGGCGACCGGAGGACGACTTCATGTCGACTGGATGAAGCTGCCAGAGAGCGAAGGTGACATCACTTCCTGTCAGGAGGATTCACACCTCAGGCTGCAGAGTTTTCACTTCCTGTTACCTCTAAGCAGGTTTCACTTCAGCTGATCTGATCAGGATTAGCTCCAGATTACATCAGATTATTACAGATTAAACCATTAGATTGTCTAGAATGATGTAGATTACATCAGATTAACCAGATCTAGAACCTCCTGTATGTCTGTACCTGATAGATTATAGATTATTATTCCAGATTAGAGCCTGCATGTCTGGATTATCATATTAGACTTGAATCTGGGATTTTTCCAGGATGGACTGGAGTTAAAATTCATTCACTCATTGATGAATCAGTGATTATCTGGAGATGTTTTCTTTCTGATTGATTTTCCCACTTCAGCAGATTATTGCTTTAGTTTCAGATTCCTTCTATTAAATTTTAGATTAGTTTCTGAACTCTAAAATAGATTTAGATTTTCTCTCCAATACTACAGTATATCACAGATATCAAAAGAAAAATAGAAATGTGGGTAATATAGGAAACAGCGCCCCCTTCACTTCTGGAGGACAATGGTCACATTTCCAAATAAGGTCTGAGACTGACAGCGGTAAGTCCCGCCCCTTCCTGTTTGCTGCAGGTCCTTCTCAAAACGACTGCATCAGGAGTCCAACAGGTTCAGGAATTATTCATGTGATGGTGGCGCCCTCTGCTGACCGGGTACCAGGCAGCAAGGCAGATGAATCTATAAAACCTGGACTGGATGAGGCAGAGAACTGGACCAGACTGAAACTATGTGAGGAAATTAGACAATGCTTCCAGAAAACTGAGGATTCAGGGTGAATGTTCTGATGGAGCCGCCATGTTGGTCTGATGGAGCCCGCCATGTTGGTCTGATGGAGCCGCCATGTTGGTCTGAAGGAGCCGCCGTGTTGGTCTGATGGAGCCGCCATGTTGGTCTGATGGAGCCGCCATGTTGGTCTGATGGAGCCGCCATGTTGGTGCTGTGGCTGCAGTGGAGAAGAGATGAAGGACTGCTAGAGGAGAGGATGTGTCAGTTGGTAAAAACCCAGAGGATCCCAACTGACAATGAAGTCCTGAAACTCTCCAAACGGCTCAGATGCTAACTGCTAACCACAAGCTGCTGCAGCAGCAGTGCTGGCAGTGAAAAGAGGAACAGCACTAGGTCTCAGTCTGTGCCTCACGGCATCAGGGACTTTCCATGACCAGATCACTGTACAGGAAGTCAGACTATGAAGACGAAGCATAAGGAGAACTACTTCCTGTTCAGAGTCTGCAGAACCAGGAAACTCTGAGATGAAAAGAAAAACTATTATTTTATCCAAAACTTTATTCTGTATATTATTCTGCAGCTCAGGAAGTTTCAACTTTCAGAGCTTCAAGACAGTCCAGACTGCACTGCTGCTGTTTGGCCACCAGAGGGCGATGCTGCAGCAGCAGGAGGAAGATGATGGAGGTCAGAGAGGAAGATGATGGAGGTCAGTGAGGAAGATGATGGTCAGTGACTGATCAGGTAAACCTTCAGGTGAAGCTCATGGTTCTGATTCTAGTTCTGGTTCTGATTGGCTGTTGAACAGGATGAATGAATCTGATTGGATGTCAGTGGGTGGGCGGGGCCTCTGCTTGTGCGGCAGCAGCTGTGAATCAGGACTCCATTACCCAGCATGCAGCGGGGCAGCCAGTAAAATCCCTAAAGAGGATTTGAGTGGATCAGAGGAAACATGCCGCTGAAGAAGGAAGGTGAGACAAACATGTTGGGACGGGACGGGTCAGAACCAGACGGGTCAGAACTGGACGGGTCAGAACCGGACGGATCAGAACCACACGGGTCAGAACCAGACGAGTCAGAACCAGACGGGTCAGAACCAGACGAGTCAGAACCAGACGAGTCAGATCCAGACGGGTCAGAACTAGATGGATCAGAACCAGACGGGTCAGAACCAGATGGATCAGATCCAGACGAGTCAGAACCAGACGAGTCAGAACCAGACGGGTCAGAACCAGATGGATCAGAACCAGACGGGTCAGAACCAGACGAGTCAGAACCAGACGGATCAGAACCAGACGGGTCAGAACCAGACAGGTCAGAACCAGACGGATCAGAACCAGATGGATCAGAACCAGACGGGTCAGATCCAGACGGGATGGTGTTATTTTTGATTATTGTTTGTGTCTCTGACCTCAGTCAGGGTCAGGTTTAGGGTCTTCTTCAGTTCGGTTTCCTTCTTGTGACCTCTGACCTCTGACAGTCTCCATGTTGGAACTGGGAGCTCTGGATTAAACTGGTTAGAATGGTGTAACTGGACCAGCAGGTGATTCTACTGGTTTTACTGGTTTGACCTCAGAGGGTTTGGAGGAGACGACCCGGGTCATGTGACCCGAGAGGCTCCAGGTAGAGAGACGATCAGATTAGAGAGACGAAGGAAACTGGATCAGAACCAGAACAACAAATAATCATTTATAATTATTTATCTGCTGGATGTTTATAATGATCCAATATTCAGGAAATCCTCTGATCAATAATCTACTGATCAGATTCTGATCAGAATTTAAAGCAGGAAGTTTAGAATCATCAGGTTTAAATGTCTGTAATCTGGATTAACCTGGATTATAGATCCATCTGAGTATCATCAGAACAGGAATATTCATCCCAACTGGAAGCATAAACACAGTAGAGTGACCAGAACCAGAACCGGGCCGGGCCCAGAACCCTGAGGGACTCCACCAGTAACCCTGGAGATAAACTGGAATCACTGGGATTAAACCAGTATGATGTTCTCTCCATAGCAACATCACCAAGCTGCTCTGGTTACTGAACATCAAGTTACTGAACCGGGTCAGTAATTCTCCTTCCTGCAGTCAGAACCATCAGAACCGTCATCAGAACCTTCTGCTACAGAGCAAAGCCTCCAGTTTCTGTTCTGACCAGAACCAGAACCAGAACCGGGTTCAGGCTCAGAAGTCCAACATGGAGAACAGGTTTCTGGGTCAGACCCATCAGAACCGCTGACCGTCTGGTTCTGTCTCCTCCAGATACGGAGCGCGCTCTGCAGGTCATGGAGGCCTGCCAGACACAGGCTGCTGACGGGGTCAAAGGTCGAGCTGAGAGGCTGCTCAGCATCTTCCAGAGTGACTTGTTCCAGGCTCTGCTAGGTAACACACACACACACACACACACACACACACACACACACACTCACACAAACACACACACACACACACACACAGACACACACACACACACCAGTTCACCCAGTTTAACCAGTCTATCTGTCATGTTGAAGAAGGCGGGTTCAATCAGAACCAATCAGAACCCAGGCTTGTCCAGGTCTGAAGGACACAGATGTATAAGTGCTACATTCAACCAAACTCTGGTCCTAATGAACCAGAACTTGTCCTTCAGAACTTGTTCTGGTTCTGAAGGTCTGTCTGGGTCCACAGAGACCTGCTCCAGAACCTCCAGAAGGTTCTGACCTCGTGGACCTGCTGCTGTAGTTCTCCATCTGGCCTGAAGTGGCGCTGTTTGAATGTTATTGATGACATCATCACACCTGAGCTCAGGTTAGCTCCGCCCCTCAGCAGCTCAGGATGCATCCAGTCGTGTTCAGAAGCTTTAACCCGTCCTGTTTGGGTTCGGAACCGGAGTCTCACTTCAGTTGGTGAGGTGTGAACACTAATTGACCTCTGACCTCTGGTCCTCCAAGCTTCAGTCTGGTTGGTTTGAATGTGAACACCAAGCAGACCTGAGACCGCTCTAAAACCTGGAAGTGGACTACAGTGCCGAGCATTCTGGGTAAATCCAACCTAAGCTAACATGCTAGCCTAGCGCTAGCAGCAGAAATGGCTCCTGGTCTTCAGCCAAAGACTAAAGAGAAATCACTAAACTCTGACGCCTCCATCTTGTTTCATCTGGTGAAACAGGAAGTTGATCTCAGCGTCTTCAGAGGTTTTAGTGTCGTTTCCTGCAGTGGTTGTTGGTTCAGCGCCCCCACAGGCCAGGAGGGGAACAGGCTGGTTTGGGTCAGAGCCACAGCAGCTGGAGGTGGAGCAGATGTTCTGGTTCCAGTAGAACCGGGTCGACCGGACCATCAGGATAGTGAATCTGCTTCACTGGAGGCTCTGCCCCTTTACCTCGGGATTAACTGGGCCCTGATTGGCTGAGGCTTCAAGTTCACCTGAGAAACTCATTATAACCTGGAGACGGTTCAGGTTCTGACCGGGTTCTAACTGGTTCTGAACCAAGTACTAATGGATTCTAACCAGGTGTCTCCCCTCTGCCCCCACCTGCTTCACCATGTGACCAAGGAGCCGGCTTGTGATTGGTCCATCCTGACTGTGTTCTCTGTGTGTGTGTGTGTTCTGTGTGTGTGTGTGTGTGTGTGTGTGTGTGTGTGTGTTGCAGACATCCAGGAGTTCTATGAGCTGACGGTGTGTGAGAGCCAGACGTCCAGCCGGCCACACACACCTGCACAGGTATCTTCCCTCACCTCCGTCTGCACAGCAACACCTGTCTCTGTTACCTAGCAACAGCTGCAGCAGCATCACCGAGGCAACAGCTGCATAACACCATGGCAACAAGAGCCCAACCCCCACCCTCTCTCTCTCTCACCCTGAGTGCACGTCGCTCGCCCCCCCACACTGAGGTTCTCCTCTTCATCATCCTCCTCCTCAGCTGACAGACGGAGGGACAGAAGGGGCGAGCGAGCGTTTACTCACAGAGAGAGAGAGAGCATGAGTGTGTGAGGGAGTGTGTGTGTGTGGAGATGGGTGTGTGTGAGAGTGTGTGAGTGTGTGTGCGGGGGGGTATGGACTGCCTCTGCATTGTCACCACCAAGGTAAGAGCTGGGCGAGAGAGAGAGAGAGAGAGAGAACACACACACACACCCACACACACACACACACACCAGGCGTGTTCTGATCCAACATGTTTCCGGGTCTCACAAAGATACAAAGACAGTGATCTCATGTGTGTGTGCTGCCTTCACGTGTTAAATGTCTCGGTGTGTGTTAGCGTAGCCACGTTAGCATGTAGCTGCTGTTAGCAGCAACTAGCTAGCTGATATTGGAGCAACATGTGGCTGGGTTCTGTCTCAGGTCCGGTACCAGAGGGATTGGATCACAGAGAGGTTCTGATGGCTCAGAGGGAACCGGGTTAAAGTTCTGGTCAGAACCGAGCCGAGCTGAGTCCGGTCCGGTTCCTCCTGGTTCCATTGAATGATCTGGTGAGACTTTATTTGTGGTGAATAAAACATGATGTCATAACCAGTTTATAAACATGTTATAAACATGAAGGAGTGTTAATGAATGAACTGATAATAACACTTTAATGCAAAGTTGCTCTAAAAGTTGCTCTAAAAGTTGCTCTAAAAGTTGACTGATGAAGACTCCTCCATGTTTATAACAGATGTTACATCATAGTTATGACATCATCATGTCTCATTCAGACCAAATAAACTGGTACCAAATAGCTAAACTCGGGTCAGAACCTGAATAGATGCAGCAACAAACATCTAAACCTTCAGCACCTGCAGACCGGACCGGACCGGACCAGGTAGAGCTAAACTGGACAGAACCGGACCGGACTGAACCGGACTGGACTGAACCGGACAGAACTAGTCTGGACCTGCTGTCCTCTCTCTGGTTCTGGTCCGTCTTTAAGAGTTTGTTTTCCTGAATCATCTTCTGGTCCAATTCTCTACAGTCCGACCCGGTACCTGGTTCTGGTTCTGCAGGGTCCAGAGAGTCTCTAATCGTTTGGATCATGGAGGTTCGTTTAGTAATCGAAGGGTTGCTGGTTCAATTCCCGCTCCGTCTTTCTCTGTGTCCCTCAGCAGAACTTCTACCCCACTGTGTTCCGGGTCACAGGGTGGAACCGGTCCAGTGGTACCGGTTCTGGTCCAGGGCAGCTGTGGCTACTCTCCAGTAGCTCCAGGGGAAACTCCATATAAGGACATTGATCATTGATGATCTGATCATAAATCTGATCAGGTCATCAATGTTTCTGCTGATTCTACATTGATTGATCTGATCTGATTCATCTTCTGTTATTAAAACGTCTTTTGGGATCAATAAAGTTCTTTTGAATGTGAGTTGAACTGGAACCGACCAGAACTCCAGTTCATGTTGGACACATTGCACTGGTTCTGCTGGTTCCACTGGTTCTGCTGGTTCTACTGGTTCCACTGGTTCTGCTGGTTTCAGATTCACTTCCACATGTTGACATTAAAATGATTAGATTTTATTTAGTTGAATCGTTTTTGAAGAACCGTCATCGGTTCAGAACCGACTGGAGTTCTGGTCGGGTTCTGGTCAGACCAGATCATCAGACTGAATTTATTTAATAAAGTTACGTTAAGAACCGGGTCAGAACCGGGTCAGAACCATCAATCCTCCACTGTGTTTATGAATGGGCTCTGGCTCCGCCCCCTCAGTGACATCAGTTACCAGGCAACCAGCCCTTCATCTTCATCAGGTTCCTCCTCTTCCTCACCAGCAGATGGGTCCATTATGAATCTCACTGGTAATGGAACCAGAACCAGTGTGATTTTCTCTGGGTCCAGTTTGGTTCTGACCAACCAGAACCGTCTATGAGATCCAGATTAACTCTGGAGGTTCTGATGGTTCTGGACCGACCCAAAGGAAGTTCTGCTGCTCTGGCCTCTATGCTAGCTGCTAACAGTTAGCCTGCTGGGGTTCTGGAGGTTCTGATGGTTCTACAGAGAAATGGACCGGTCCTCATGTTCTCCAGAACCTTTCCAACAGAACCTGTTGAACAGAGTGAAACCAGGTCCATCAGAACCAGACCTGTTGGTATCAGAACCTCTGAGGATGTGCCCCAGAACCAGAACCTTGTGCTGGTTCTGTCAGTAGGTCCAGTTAAATAAATCATATCCTGGCTCTAATATTCAAAATGCAAATAAATAGAAACTGTAAAACAAGATCTGACCAATCAGAATCCAGGTTCTGGTTCTGGTTCTGGTCTGGTTCTGGATTCGGGTCTTCGATGTTCTGAGGTTTTGGTTCTGTACTGTTAGCCTGATCCATTAGCGTGTTGCCGGCTCTGATCTGGGCAGAACCAGAACCTGACCGTCTGGTTCTGTCTGTGCAGAAGTACCGTTACCATGACGACAAGACGCCGCCTGTGGACCCCAGTCCGGGTCACATGACCCACAGCGCTGAGCCGAGCCACGCCCACCTGGACGGATACACACACCCTGCTGCTCTCACTGTAGGTACCAACAGACTACAGTACCCACAATGCACCTGGCAGACAGGCTGCAGCTCTGATTACCAATCAATGAAAACAACCTGCTGATTTTGGTCTCTAGTGATTTTTTATTTTCAACACTGAATTGATATTAACTGGAAACATGCAGACTGACCTGGTCATCAGTCTCACTGCAGAGCAGAGGACAGAGGCTGGTTCAGACCTTTAAGGTGGATAAGATGGACTTCACATCATCAACGGTTGGTCCTTCAGAACCAGTTTGGATCAGAACCAGTTTGGATCAGAACCAGTTTGGATCAGAACCAGTTGGGATCATCATCGTACAGAAAGATAACCAAATTAGTTTCAGTGCATCCAAAGACAGAGACTAATAAACACCAGAACACCTGAGTGGACCGAGGCCTGAGGCAGCAGCCAGAGGAGGCGCTAGAGAGCAACATGAGGGTGATGATTAAACCAAACTGATCTGACCCCGGGTCAGTGGGGTCATGGAAAACCTCAGGAGAAGCAACTTCTGGAAACAGAAACAGCAAAGCAGCAACTGGCTCATTGCATCAGCCTGAGGCAGTCTAGGGGGGCAGGAAGGGGCAGGAAGGGGCAGGAAGGCAGTGAGACGGGGCTTCAGAGGACTCTGGATGGTTGGTTCTGGGTTTTAGGTGAGGTCAAGGTCCAGTTGAAGCTCTGGGTGGTTCTGATCCAGTAGGAGCAGAGGATGTTGGTATCAGACCTGCAGCTGGTTTCCTGCAGGAAGATCAGCAGGTCAGAGGTCAGATCTATTACAGATCTACTACAGATCTATAATAGATCTGTAGTAGATCTACTGTAGATCTACAGTAGATCTCTAGTAGATCTATGCTCACATTAATATTCACACTGCTGTAATCACACACACAGTGATACAAACTGAACTCTCTCTCTCTCCGTAGCGTGGCTCGCCCGTTTTGCTCAGCCGTCTCCATGGTAACGCCAAGAAAGGCAGAAGGGGGGGCTGTTACCATGGCAACTGCATTAGCCTGAACGCGTTTCTAAAATCTTTTAGTGAGAAAATCTCTCTCTCTCTCTCTCTGCCTCGCTCGCCCTGCTGAGTGACATCACAGAGGGGAGGGGATTCCTTCAGAGGAGAGAGAGAGAGATGGACCGCCTCTCTCTCTCTCTCTCTCTCTCTGCAGGACTCTGTCGCTCCTCTTCCTCCTGCAGGACTCTCTCCTCCTCTTCCTCTCTGAGCGAGGGACGATGTCCCCTCCGTCCATCATGTCTCTGCTCTTTGTTGACGCGTCCAGGACCCGATCCGTACCGAGCTGAGCGGCTCGGTTAATAATTCATCTGTCCCTCATCGCCGTCCTTATGTAAGCACCGACCTGAAGACGGGAGGAGGGACAGGAGGACAGACACTCTGAGGGACTCTGAGGGCCACAGGGAGACATCATTTGGGTCTGAGGGACATTCAGAGACAATCTGAGGGACATCCTGAGGACCAGGCGGAGACACAGGGAGGGATGTTTGTGTCCGTCTGGTACGCCAAGAAGATGGGAAGAAGATTCATCAACAACGTGAGGAGAGCAAAGAGACACAGGCAGAGGATGATGGTAGGAACCGATTGGTCCGCTGGGGTCTGCTGGCTCCTGATTGGTCCTCAGGGAGGGGCAGGGCCTGCTGGGGCCAATCAGGGCTGGAGGAGTTACTGCGACCCTCAGGGTGGAGAAGATGGAGGTTCAGGACCTTCTGGTGGTTCTGATCCAGATGGTTACTGGTTCTGATGAAGACGGGTTGGTGGTTCTGATCCAGAGTGGCTCTGGGCCGATCGGTTCTCCAGAGTTCTGCTATTGATTATTGGACTCGGGTCCAAACCGAGACGTTTCCAGAACCTTCTGGGCTCCTTCCCTCTGGTTTTAAGGTTTGGACCTTCCTCCAGCTCGGTACCGTTTGGACCTGCAGTGTCCACCAGTAGGTGAGGCGGTGACGGCGCCCCCTGCTGGTGGACCCAGAGCTCCTCAGGTTGGTTGACCTGAAGGTACCAGAGTAGAGGGGGCGGTGGCCTCTGATTGGATCATGACAGGAAGTGATGTAATCGTCCTCAGAGGGAGAGCTGGTTACCATGGCTACAGCCACAGTCGCCTTGGTAACCGGTCTCCTGAGGCAGCAGCAGCTGTTACCATGGAGTTGCCATGGAGACGGGCAGCAGAAATTCAACTGTTTTTTTTTCTGCTTGATTTTCCAGATGAACGGATCAGAAGGAGAGCTGGAGTATGAAGAGATCACTCTGGAGAGGGTAAGGATACATTCTGATACTATAGATCAACAGCTTCTATTACACGTAGATCTATACTGATAAATCCTACATCTACACTGTAACAGCTGGTTCTGTTCTGTACCACGTAGATCTATGTTGTTCCAGAACCTTCTGGTCCATAAATATCCTCATCGGTTCTGTTTTTAGAACCAGGTTATATTTAGCTGCTGTCGCCTCACTGATCAAACAGAACCGGGCCCAGTCGGACCGGCGCCGAGTGCTGACAGCATGAGTCACTGCCGCACTAATCAGTTCACTGCCTTCATCGCTGAACTGCATCATCATCATCATCATCATCATCTCTGATGGTTTATCTGTTGGACCAGCAGCACCAGAGGTTCTGATTGGTTCATCTCTCCATCTGATGGTCGGTTCTGATTGGTCAGTTCTATCCCATCTGGACCTCAGCAGAACCAAAGCTGTGATGTTGGTTCCCTGATGGACCAAGCAGAGACTGGTAGCAGGGTTCTGATCGGGTTCTAAATGAACATGTAGATCAACACCGTTCAACAGAACCTCTGGTTCCAGACCTTCAGTACTCAAGCAGAACCATCAGAACCAACCATGTAGAGCCAGACACAGATTTATGAATCAGAACCGGGACCATCAGAACCTGGTGTGGTCCAGCTGGTTCTATCAGAACCGGGTCCATCAGAACCAGGTCCGGTTGGGTCCATCAGAACCTCTCCCTCTCCAGGGGAACTCTGGACTGGGCTTCAGCATCGCGGGCGGAACCGACAACCCGCACATCGGAGACGACCCGTCCATCTTCATCACCAAGATCATCGCAGGAGGAGCCGCCGCCCAAGATGGCCGCCTCAGGTACCGGTTCTGACCCGAACGGGTCGTTATGGCTGCTCTACTGCTGAGAGACGGGAAGTTATTAGAATTTATCGATTTGATTCCCTATCAATATATTGATGTTAGGAAATAAACATGTTGATTTAATTCAAACTAAAAGTTTAAACAATAAGAATCAAATAAACATTTTAACATATTTTATCCTGTTAATATAAGAAACAATCATTGATAATAAATTCTACTTTATTTAATCAGTCAATAAATATTAATATGAGATTATTTATTGATTATTGATTCATTAAAGCTCCAACGTTACAATATTAACCAGTTTAATGTTTCCTGCTCGTCACTATGGAGACGCGCCAACCTCCGCCCCCAGGGTTAGGTTCTGGTTCTGACCCGGTCCGACCTCTGCAGGGTGAACGACAGCATCGTGTTCGTGAACGACGTGGACGTCCGGGAAGTCTCTCACTCATTGGCTGTGGAGGCGCTGAAGGAGGCGGGGCCTGTGGTCCGACTCTACGTGCTGCGGCGCCGACCGCCCAGCGAACGCATCGCTCAGGTCAAGCTGCTGAAGGGACCCAAAGGTGAGCAGAACCAGCGGTACCAGCAGAACCAACAGAACCTTTCACAGTTAGGATACTTTAGCTGGTTCTGCTCTGCATCCAGAACCAGAATATAGAGAAGCAGCATTCAGAATCTATGCACCATAAATCTGGAACAAACGTTCAGAAAACTGAACAAGAGCTGAAACGCTGAGTCATGAGGTTAGTTGGTCAAGATGGAGGCAAAGAGACTGAGGTAAAGAAACTGGGTTTAAAGATGAACAGTAGAAACAACAAGCAGCAGGAGGAACTAAACACATCATCACAAACTGACAGCTTCATGAAGACATGATGACGGAAACAGGAAACAGGGAGACACAGGAGACACATGGAGACACAGGAGACACATGGAGACACAGGGAGACACATGGAAACACAGGGAGACACAGGAGACACATGGAGACACAGGAGACACATGGAGACACAGGAGACACATGGAGACACATGTGAAGCCAAACATGTTGGATAATCATTGGAAGGAGAAACACAAGGTCTAAACCAACCAAACCCACATCCAGACTGAACCCTCAGCCTGGTTGGAGCTGCTCTGATTTGATTATTCTGGTCTGGTTTATCCACCTTACTGGTTCCAGAACCAGCTAAACTTTGAATAAGCCAGGTGACCTTTGAACCCATCCAGGTTCTGATGTTACTGGGAAATGATTATGGGTCTGTCTTCAGGCGCTGAGCAGAAGCAGCAACATGTTGATGATCTCTAATAATCTGACCAAGGTTAGCTTGTAGCCGCAGGTGGGATTTTAACTTCTCCCAAAATAAAAGCTGCAGCTTCATCACCAGCAGACAGACGAGGAAACTAAAGAATTTGGCTAAAAACTCTAAACTTGAACAGAAAACCCAAAAAGCTTTATGAGCTCGTTTCATCGTGTGGACAGAAAGACGAGGGAGGAAACGCTGAGCAACTGAGTCAGTGAAGTAGCTAGCTATGCTAATGCAGGTAGCTAGCTATGCTAATGCAGGTAGCTAGCTATGCTAATGCAGGTAGCTAGCTATGCTAATGTGGATAGCTAGCTATGTTAGTGTAGGTAGATAGCTATGCTCATGCAGGTAGCCAGCTATGCTAGTGCAGGTAGCTAGCTATGCTAGTATGTGAAGCTAGCTATGCTAGTGTGTGTAGCTAGCTATGCCTGTGTAGGTAGCTAGCTATGCTAATGTGGGTAGCAAGCTATGCTAGTGCAGGTAGCTAGCTATGCTAGTGCGTATAGCTAGCTATGCTAGTGCGGGTAGCCAGCTATGCTAGTGTGTGTAGCTAGCTATGCCTGTGTAGGTAGCTAGCTATGCTAGTGTGTGAAGCTAGCTATGCTAGTGCGTGTAGCTAGCTATGCTAATGCGGGTAGCAAGCTATGCTAATGCGGGTAGCCAGCTATGCTAGTGCAGGTAGCTAGCTATGCTAGTGCGGGTAGCTAGCTATGCTAGTGCAGGTTATTTGCTGCCGTTTCTCCAAGTCTCCATTCCTTCACGCAATAGCTGTAGTTGTAAAACAATATTACCGCATTCAAGCTTTGATAGCTGTAGTTCCCTCATATTTTAGAACCTAAAAGCTCTGTAAAGTCGGTTAGCGAGATGCTAACATGTAAACACATGGTGGTTCCGGTTTGCGGCGGAAGTCCCGCCCATATATCACGCAAAACCTCATGGTGTCTAGGAATGAGGTGGATTTAGTTTCATCACTTCTCTTAAAAACACATAAAGGAAAGGTTTCCTTTTAAAAATATATATTTTAATAATAAGTCACCTGGTTTCTCTCTCTACCTGGTTCTGGTTCCGGTCGGTCCAGGTCTGGGCTTCAGCATCGCGGGCGGCGTGGGGAACCAGCACGTTCCTGGAGACAACAGCATCTACGTCACTAAGATCATCGATGGCGGCGCGGCGCATCGGGACGGCCGGCTGCAGATCGGGGATAAGATCCTGGCTGTAAGTGGACCGGTTCTGGTTCTGGAGGCCCAGCGGGCCGGGTGTTCAGCAGTAACGGTGGCGCCCCCTGCAGGTGAACCACATGTCTCTGGAGGACGTCCTGCATGAGGACGCCGTGGCGGCGCTGAAGAACACCGGGGATGTGGTGTACCTGAAGGTGGCCACGCCCACCGCCCCGTTCGGCCAGCAGGGGGAGCGCTACAGCCCGCCGGACCTCACCAGCGGTAGGTAGAACCGGTTCTGGTCGGGTTCTGGCCCGCTGAACCCCACCAAGTGTGAGTTCTGCTGGTTCTGGTTCTCAGACTTTCTCTCTGCAGCCTACATGGATCCAGACTACCTCTGCGATTACCCAGCAGCCCTGGCGCCGCCGTCGCCCCGGCGATACTCGCCGCTGCCCCGCGGCATCATGGGAGAAGAGGAATACTCCAGGGAGCCGCGGCGCGTCGGCATCCAGCGGGGGGCCACCGGGCTGGGCTTCAACATCGTGGGGGGGGAAGATGGAGAAGGAATCTTCATCTCCTTCATCCTGGCAGGAGGACCAGCTGACCTGAGCGGCGAGCTGAGGAAGGGAGACCAGATCCTGAGCGTGAGTATCACTTTAAGAGGGCGGGGCAGAACCTGAGGGGGAGTATCACTTTAAGAGAGAGGGGGGCAGATCCTGAGGGGGAGTATCACTTTAAGAGAGAGGGAGGGGGGCGCAGATCCTGAGGGGGAGTATCACTTTAAGAGAGAGGAAGGGGAGGGGCAGAACCTGAGGGGGAGTATCACTTTAAGAGGGCAGGGCAGAACCTGAGGGGGAGTATCACTTTAAGAAGGTTCTGCTGAGACCCTGCTGCAGGTCATGGTCAGAAACCAGGTTCATAGACAGTGGCTATACTGAGCCCCCTGCTGGTAGGACAGTGGTACTGACCACTAACCTGTCCAACACCTGTTCTCTGTGTCCCCGTCTGTCTCCTCTGTGTCCAGGTGAACGGGGTGGACCTGCGGTTCGCCACACATGAACAGGCAGCAGCAGCTCTGAAGAACGCCGGTCAGACGGTGACCATCGTAGCTCAGTACAGACCAGAGGGTGAGCAGCTCAGGAACACAACATGCTGTTAGCGTGTTAATGACAACATGCTAAGCAACACATGCTGTTAGCATGTTCACTGGCTCAACACAGTCTACTTCCTGTTTCCTGTCCAGAGTACAGCCGCTTTGAGGCCAAGATCCACGACCTGAGAGAGCAAATGATGAACAGCTCATCAGGCAGCCTGAGAGCCAATCGCAGCTTCTATGTCAGGTAGCTAACCCCATCATGTTAGCCACCATGTTAGCTACCGTGTTAGCTACCATGTTAGCCAACATATTAGCCACCATGTTAGCTACCATGTTTGCTACCTTAGCAGGAAGCAGAGCTGATGTTGCTCTTCCAGTTGATGTTGCCCCCTGTTGCCCCTTGTTGCCCCCTGCTGCCCTCTGTTGCCCTCTGTTGCCCTCTGTTCCGTTGCAGAGCCCTGTTTGACTACGACAAGCAGTGGGACTGCGGCGTTCTGTCTCAGGCTCTGGACTTTAACTTCGGGAGGTTCTGCATGTGATGGACAGCGCTGACGATGAGTGGTGGCAGGCAAGAAGGCTCAACCAGCAGGGGGAGCTAGAGGAGCTGGGATACATCCCCTCCAAGCACAGGCTAGTTGACCTGCTGACCTCTATCTGTAGAGCTAATGGCTACGGTAGAGTAATGATTGCTGATTGCTAATGGACATTGCTATAGCTGCAGCTAGCTGTTGTAGCTGCTAACTGTTCCTGTTTGTGTTTCAGGGTGGAGAGGAAGGAGTGGTCCCGCATGAAGAGTAAAGGTACAGTCCCACTATTTATCTGATCGATGTTAACATGAAACTGAACCAAAGTTTAATGATCATCATTAATAACTGATGTGGAACCAAACAGACCATCATCAACCATCATTCAGCTTCATAGTCAGAGACAAAAAGCTTCATATTCATATTGACACAATAACAGATGGAAAGACATCTGTAACGACTCTAGAGCTGCAGCTACTGCTGGGAAGGGTCAAAGGTCACCTCCAGACCACCTGCAGTCCATCAGTCTCCAGATAGAACAAGAGGAAACATCTCTCTGTAAACAAGATGGCCGCCAGACTGAGGTCAGCACCAAGGCCCTGCCATGGCCTAGTCAAAGTCCAGACCTCAGCCTGATTGAAATGTAACACTGGGAGTTGATCAGAACTTTTAATGATCTAAAGAGAGAGATGACCGGACCAGAACTGGACCAGAACTGGACCAGAACTCCTCTATGATTGAAGACTCCTGTCAGAGGTTCTGCTGGGTGGTTCTGCTGGGAGGTTCTTCAGGCCAGTGGACCGGGTCGTGGTCTCGGCTCTAACCAGAACCGTTCTGCCTTCTGTTCTCATCTGTCTGTGTTTCTGTTCCAGGGAGAGACGGTTTCATCCACAGCTATGAACTCGTCACTCAGATTGAAGGTCAGTACCAGCAGAACCTTGACCCTACTCACTGATAACTGGACCAGAACCAGAACCAGAGGTTCCTCTGACCACCAGACTCACTGACCTGCTTCAGGAAACCTTTCACTGGGTTTCCTCATAGGGGTTAAAGGTCAGAAAGGTTTCCAGGTCAGGAGAACCGGGTCGTTGTTCTGAGGTCGGGGTGTTCGGTCCGTCCTCCAGAGACAAACTTTCTGGTTTAGTTTGTTCTGGTTGGTTTAGTTCTCTGGTCCATCCTGGACCAACTGGTGGCTCGTTAGCTGCTGCTGAACTTTGACCTCCTGCAGGATGAACGGGACCCTCCTGGTCTGAGGTGAAGAGTCCAGCGAGGAGCTGTGACCTTCATGACCTGCTGAAGGTCACCAGATGAACATGTTGTTCCTGGTTTCTCCTCAGCAGACCTTTGACCTCTATTGACCTTGTAGCTGATTGGTTCCTGGTTTAGTACCAGACCGTCTCCTGGAGACGCCGGCGGTCCGTACCCTAACCGCTGTCCGTCTGTCCCCAGTGGACTACGCCCGTCCCGTCATCATCCTGGGTCCAACCAAAGACCGGGTCAACGACGACCTGCTGTCTGAGTATCCGGACAAGTTCGGCTCCTGCGTTCCCCGTAAGTCCTGATGATGTCATCACGCTGACAGACAGGAAGTGTGACGTCACGTCCCGTCTCCGCCCACAGACACCACCCGTCCCCGCAGGGACTACGAGATGGACGGGCGGGACTACCACTTTGTGTCGTCACGGGAACAGATGGAGCGGGACATCCAGTCTCACCGCTTCATCGAGGCGGGACAATACAACAACCACCTGTACGGGACATCGGTGCAGAGCGTCAGGCAGGTGGCTGAGCAGGTGAGACACGGGGGGACAGGTGAGACATGGAGGACAGGGGAGACACAGAGGACAGGGGAGACACAAAGGACAGGTGAGACATGGAGGACAGGTGAGACATGGAGGACAGGTGAGACACAGAGAACAGGTGAGACAGGGACAGGTAGACGGTTGGACAGGTCGATGATGAGTTAATAAACTAGTGAAGTGAAGCATCATCTGCATAGAGAAGATCTTAGACTGTCTCAGCCAATGAGAGATCAGTGGATGGATTTAAAGGGACAGCAGCGTTTAACATGTAGAAACAGAATGTATAGAAGCTGCTGTCCTGATGTTTACCACAGCATGACCTCCTGACCCCTGCAGCTCCATTAGCCTCTAACTGGCTTAGCTGTGGCTAACTGTCGCCCCCTGCTGTTCCAGGGGAAGCATTGCATCCTGGATGTTTCAGCCAACGCTGTGAGGCGTCTGCAGGCGGCTCACCTGCATCCCATCGCCATCTTCATCCGGCCGCGCTCCCTGGAGAACATCCTGTAAGACACCTATCTGACCTTTACCTGACCTTTACCTGACCTTTACCTGACCTTTACCTGACCTTTACATGACCTTTACCTGACCTTTACCTGAGCTGTAACTGAGCTGTACCTGAGCTGTCTGTAGACCCGGTCAGGACCAGACCAGGTCCTGGACCCGTCCGGTTCCTCTGTCCTGAATCGTCTCCCTGTTTGTCTTCAGGGACCTGAACAAGCGTCTCTCGGAGGACCAGGCCAGGAAAGCTCTGGACCGAGCCGTCAAGCTGGAGCAGGACTTCCTGGAGTGTTTCACAGGTAAGAACACCTGAGGACCTGGACCAATCAGCCGGCCTGTCTGTAACCGACCAATCAGAGCCAGCCTGTCTGTAACCGACCAATCAGAGCCAGCCTGTCTGTAACCGACCAATCAGAGCCTTCCTGTCTGTAACCGACCAATCAGAGCCAGCCTGTCTGTAACCGACCAATCAGAGCCAGCCTGTCTGTAACCGACCAATCAGAGCCTTCCTGTCTGTAACCGACCAATCAGAGCCTTCCTGTCTGTAACCGACCAATCAGAGCCAGCCTGTCTGTAACCGACCAATCAGAGCCTTCCTGTCTGTAACTGACCAATCAGAGCCAGCCTGTCTGTGACCGACCAATCAGAGCCTTCCTGTCTGTGACCGACCAATCAGAGCCTTCCTGTCTGTAACCGACCAATCAGAGCCTTCCTGTGTGTCTCCTCAGCCGTTGCCCAGGGCGACAGCTTCGATGAGGTGTACCTGCAGGTGAAGCTGGTCATCGAGGAGCAGAGTGGACCGTACATCTGGGTTCCTGCCCGGGACAGACTCTGATTGGCTGTCTCCATGGCAACCACCCTCACCTGCTCCAGCTGATGTGGGCGGAGCCTCAGGAGAGACTGCTGTAACCATGGCGACCACGTCCTGTCCAGAGACAAATAATCCTGAGAGAATCAGAGACTCTAGAACCAGAACCAGAACCAGAACACAGTATTTATAGAAACATTTATTTATATTATTTATTAAGACTTTCTGTGACGTGGCAGTGGAGTGTGTGTGTGTGTGTGTGTGTGTGTTAGACTGTGTGTGTGTGTGTGTTAGACTGTGTGTGTGTGTGTTAGACTGTGTGTGTGTGTGTGTTAGACTGTGTGTGTGTGTGTGTTAGACTGTGTGTGTGTGTGTGTGTGTGTTAGACTGTGTGTGTGTGTGTGTGTTAGACTGTGTGTGTGTGTGTGTTAGACTGTGTGTGTGTGTGTGTGTGTGTGTGTGTGTGTTAGACTGTGTGTGTGTGTGTGTGTGTGTGTTAGACTGTGTGTGTGTGTGTGTGTTAGACTGTGTGTGTGTGGTGTGTTAGACTGTGTGTGTGTGTGTGTGTGTGTTAGACTGTGTGTGTGTGTGTGTGTTAGACTGTGTGTGTGTGTGTGTTAGACTGTGTGTGTGTGTGTGTGTTAGACTGTGTGTGTGTGTGTGTTAGACTGTGTGTGTGTGTGTGTGTGTGTTAGACTGTGTGTGTGTGTGTGTGTTTGACTGTGTGTGTGTGTGTGTGTTTGACTGTGTGTGTGTGTGTGTGTGTGTGTGTGTGTTTGACTGTGTGTGTGTGTGTGTTTGACTGTGTGTGTGTGTGTGTTTGACTGTGTGTGCGTGTGTGTGTGTGTGTTTGACTGTGTGTGTGTGTGTGTGTGTGTGTGTGTGTTTGACTGTGTGTGTGTGTGTGTGTTAGACTGTGTGTGTGTGTGTGTGTTAGACTGTGTGTGTGTGTGTGTGTGTGTGTAGACTGTGTGTGTGTGTGTGTGTGTGTTAGACTGTGTGTGTGTGTGTGTGTTAGACTGTGTGTGTGTGTGTGTGTGTGTTAGACTGTGTGTGTGTGTGTGTGTGTTAGACTGTGTGTGTGTGTGTGTTAGACTGTGTGTGTGTGTGTGTGTGTGTTAGACTGTGTGTGTGTGTGTGTGTTAGACTGTGTGTGTGTGTGTGTGTGTGTGTGTTAGACTGTGTGTGTGTGTGTGTGTTTGACTGTGTGTGTGTGTGTGTTAGACTGTGTGTGTGTGTGTGTGTGTGTTAGAGTGTGTGTGTGTGTGCGTGTGTGTATATGTGTGGATACAGACGTGTGTAATTGTAAATAAACCACGGGGCTCAAACACACGGTCTATTCAGGGCTTAAACTATCAACCACTGGACTACAACTCCCACAATCCTCCTCTTCAGGACTACAACTCCCTCAGCTCTCCTGTCAGCCGGCCCAAGGCAGAAGCGAACTAAACGAAACCAGTCAGGAATGAAACTTATATCTGATTGTTGAGAAAAAGAGAATTTTAATCAATTTTATTAAAACTGAATATTTGTTCCAATGAAACTTTATTTTATGTTTTCCTCAGAGAAAGATTTTTATTTAGTTTTAGTTTGCTTTGTAAAACATTCTCAATCCTCCTCTGCATGCATGGACTACATTTCTACCACAGATTCAGTTTTATACCCACAATCCTTTTAGTTTTTGGACTCCAACCCTCTGATCCTGTTTGGACTCTAACTCCCATGATGCCGTTCTGTTCAGGCTGAAGGTCTCCATGATCTGAGCATCATATTTCTCAGCTGCTCCATCCTGCATCACACAGGACTACATTACCCAGAGTTCTCTGCTCCATGGAACCTGCTGGCTCAGCAGAAGACATGGGGACCAAACTGGACTCAACAAGAACCTTAATGGTTCTGCTGCTGGAACGGGTCCGATGGAAGAACTCCTTACAGAGACGCAGAGACACACCTGGACAGAGACACACCTGAACACGCAGAGACACACCTGGACACAGAGACACACCTGGACACACAGAGACACACCTGGACACACAGAGACACACCTGGACACACAGAGACACACCTGGACACACAGAGACACACTTGGACACACCTGGCCCAGAAGAGGCTGCTGGACTCAAAGCTTCTTGTAAAAACAGAAAATTAGTTATTAATGAAATTCAAATATTTAAATAAATTCCTTATAAAACTGAATATTGGTTCCGACTCAGTGCTGAATAGAACCACCAGAACCAGCAGAACCACCAGAACCATCAGAACCATCAGAACCACTCTAACCCCAGCTTGGCAGGTGACAGTTTGTCTCCCCCTGCTGGCAGACATAGTCATTGCACCAATGCTGTGACGTCATCAGTTCCTCCATGTTTTCCTGCTGCTTTTATCAGATCTTCTGTGGTTCTGATCCGGATGTTCTTTAGGGTTTCTGGTTCTGATGATTTAATGTCTGTTTTTCCTTCCAGAACATTTTAGGCTGTTTGGTTTTATGGTTCTTGTTCCTTTGGGTTCTGTTGCCATCAGGTGATGATGGCGTCCAGCTGTCTGTCCATCGTTGATCCATCAGGGTTCTGGTTCAGTGATGCTAACACTGGCTATGCTAACATGAGTTATGCTAACACTAGCTATGCTAACACTAGCTATGCTAACATGAGTTATGCTAACACTAGCTCTGCTCAGGTTGTCATAACACATTGGACCAAAATGCCTCATCCTTTCAGTCTGTATATGTATTTAATACCAGAACTCTCTGGATGGTTTTTATCAAAATGTTCTTTATTATCTAGTTTTATTTTCATCTCCAGGTTTCGTTTCATTGCAGCTTCATGAACTTTTATTATTTTTATATTCTGGATGTTTTCTGTTCAGATTTCAGTAAAACTTTAATGTTTTAAACAGAACAAAGTTCACAGCAACATGAGACTAAAACTCTTTTCACTGGATTCAGATGTTTATTCATTTATGTGCAAAACGTCTGAATGAAGCTTCATGAATATTTAATCTGCTTAGTTTTTATTGAACCTGTTGATCCTCAGAGACACTAAAGACTGAAAGATGGAGGAAATGGAGGTCAAGAGGTCACATGATCCAGACTGAGAGGTCAACACTGTTCACACTGTATGTCTGTGTGTGTTATCTATCAGAGTGTGTGTATCAGTGTGTGTAGGTGTGTTATCTATCAGTGTGTGTATCAGTGTGTGTGTGTATTTGTGTGTGTGTGTGTCTATCAGTGTGTGTATTTGTGTGTGTGTGTGTGTATCAGTGTGTGTAGGTGTGTGTGTGTGTATCAGTGTGTGTATCAGTGTGTGTATCAGTGTGTGTATCAGTGTGTGTGTATCAGTGTGTGTAGGTGTGTGTATCTATCAGTGTGTGTGTGTGTATCAGTGTGTGTATCAGTGTGTGTATCAGTGTGTGTAGGTGTGTGTGTGCCGGATGCTCCACACGTCTCCGTTCAGAGCGTTCGCCGCCCCCTGCAGGGTCCAGGTGAACAGAGCCAGCTGCCGTCTGAAGCGGTTCTCGTTGAAGTGTCCGGGGTCAGAGGTCAGCAGGGTCAGATGCTCGGTGAGCGCGCTCAGAGTGTGGTTGCCCCGCCCATGGATCACATGACGAAACGGCGTCTCCATGGCCGACACGTACTGAGACAGGAAGTAGTACTCCACCTGGAGGCAGAGGGGAAAGGTCAGAGGTCATATATCTGATGTCATCATGCTGATGTCATCATGCTGAGTCGTCTGGGTAACGACTGATGCTGAGATTTCAGGTCTCATGATCACAATGAATTTCAGCCTTTAATCAGATCTGATTGATTTTGCTGCTGATGGAGCTTCAGATTCACCCAGAGACCTGACCCCTGACCTTTCCCCTAAACCTAACGCATTGATTTCTGCTGATCAGCATCGGTCAATCAATCGTTCTAATAGAGAGAAAGATAATCAATATTTTCATGTTTTGAAGGTCGTTGATCACAAGGAGTTAATTTTTTTTAAATGACCAAAAAAAGATAAAAGTGGATCAAATATCTGCAACTAAAAACAGGAAGTGAAGGTCCACATTGTTAGCATAACTAGAGATTTAGCTTTGGGCCTCATGGAGGCTTGGATTATATCTGCTGCAATAAGTCAATGGAAACCAGATGCAGCTGAGATGCAGTTACACACAACAAGAACCTATGAAAACTGAGGAGGATCTACTGAGTTCCCACATGATCATCATCATCACATCATCATCATCATCATCACATCATCATCATCACATCCAGCAGTTCATTTAACAAACTGAATCAGGAATAAATCAACTCAACACTTCTCAGGTTTACAGCAGGTATTCAGCAACATACTGAGAAAGCAGCAAACTGAACCAGAACTATATTAAAATGCTCTCATGAGCTAAACTCAGGATTACATCACTTCCTAACCGATACTACAAAATAAAATACAGAAAATACAAAAATGTCACCAGTGACATTAACAAACAGAAATGTTTCCCAGTTGGAGACCTGAGAGCTGATTGGACGGTTATAGCGTCCGCCATGTTGAAAGTGGCTAATCTGCTAGCTAGCTAATAGAAATAAATGGACAGAACTTTAAAAAGTTCCGATCTGTGAAGGATTTTAAGTTAATAAATGTCACTGACACAATCGCTCACTATAACTATAACTATTAGATATATTAATGAAAAAAATAAAAAACTAAGGACGTTTTCAACTTTTAGATTATTTAATTGTTTTGGGGAATAATAATTAGATTTGATAGAAATTGTTTTTATGATGAACACACACACACACACACACACTCACCTTTACAGTGATGTATTCATGAACATATTAACACAATTCTATAATTCAATGTGCATCAAACTTTAGCTACATATTTTTGCATTAAAAATATTTTTTACAGTGTAATATGCTAACTGTGTCATAAACAGCAGTGATTAAAATCTAACAGACTAAATTTTTTTTTTATTTCTTTACATAAACTGTCATAATATCCTAATACTTTAAACTGACATATTTCACTTAAAATACACAAAATGTGAAAGTCAACAGAGTTTAGTTCATTATAAATATATTTATATTATAATGACACAGAGAGACGAGTTCAGGCTGCTGGTTGAAAACTGGGACCAGTTTGAGACGTCTGGTTAGCCACAGGCTAAAGCTAATGATGATCTAACAATAGAAATACATCCTTGATTCATTCATATTCAGAAAACAACATCTTCACCATATTGGGGCGACATGGCATCTAAACTCAGATATTGAGGAGATAAACTGTGAAACAGAAGAAAAACCTCTGCAGCTCTGATCTCTATTAACTGATATTATGCAGTTATGAATCCTGTCACAGGAGCATCGCTCTAAACTCATATTGATGAGGAAACGGACTGAAACTTTTAAAAATATTTGTAACATTATTATGTTTCTTAACCATGTAAGCCCTAAAACGGGTTTATTTAGCAGATTAATTGAAATAAATACAGTTTTTCAGTGTCTGATGAAAATGTTCTCTGATGGTTTGAAATTCCCAGATTTTTCTTGAACGCCATAATAGCTTCAAGCTACAAAACAGAGGCTCATTATGTAAAACATTTATATAATCCTTAACCTTCTAGTTTATTAATGTAGGGAGAATGCATTTTAATTTCCGAGCCTAAAAATATTTGCATTCCCTACATATTTTTCCAAATTATTCTCCTTTTGATATGAAACGATACCAGAAGCTCAGAGATCAGGAATGATTGTGTAGAAAAGTGAAATCTTTCCAAACTCTTTATAATAATTTAATGCATTTGTTGTGCATATTTTGGCACAGCAAATTATGAGCTGCCAATAATTTCATGCCCTGTTTAATAAATGAATGATGTCACAACAAAGACAGCAATAAGTGGAACCATCATCAATGTGTCTGGAACCTCCAGCAGAGACAGATTGAACTACTAAAGAGTTAATCTGAGTAAAGTGGGTACATAATGAATATTTCTTACTGTGTTGTGAAATAATGAATGAATAAAACCAAAGATTGGTGACGAAGGTCCAGCAGTCGCCTCCAAATGATCTTTGTTAGAAAATGCATGTCCTGCAGTTTGAAGCTTTTGGATCATAATGTTTATATAATGATTATAATGTGTTATTAAATATTGTAGACAATGATATAAATCCTCTGAGCTACTAGAGTCTAGAGTGACTTTCATGTCAGTACGACACTTTGAGCTGATTATAGGTTTTCTCATTAGAAACTCCTTCATTATTAAAACAACACAATATGAAAAGGTTAGCTTAGCTAAGAAAATGACCAGAGTTGTTAACAATGTTGTAACAAAGGGAATATTTCTCTGCTATTTATAAGTTTGTTTCAGCACTAAATATTCAGAACTGAACACAAAGTCAGGAAATTCTGCTCCTACATTTAACTTGTTTCCTTTAATTCTTACCTAAAGGTAAAAGCAGTGGCTCCACTTTGTCCTGTAAAACTGTTTAAACTGCATCACTTTCCTCCACTGCCACTATCAAGATGGCGGCGACTGAAGCAGGACTCAGTTTATATTGGAGCCAGACGTGTATTCTGGTGTTTGGTCACTAGATGGGGCTGTGGCTCCAGAGTCATTGTTAACATTGTTGCTGTGAATCATGGAATCAATGGATTTGATCATAAATGATTCATCTGACTGGAACAAAGTTTGAATTTGGACAAGAAGAAAATCTTTGGGATCAACTTTATATACGATCAACAGGAAGAACATGAATCACTCAGAACTCATGGCAACGGAGAGCAACGGAGCAACGTTTAACTAATACAACTAGTGCAGCATTAAAGTGGCTGATATAGTAAACATATTCATGCCTGTTGTCCAATCAGTGAGACATGTCTCACACTGAGACATGTCTCTTCTGTTTTCTTAATGTTGTGTTTTTGTAAGTTGTTGAAGTGGGAGAAGAACCTGCAGCAACAGGAAGGGGCGGGGCTACTGTCAGCCTCAGACCTTATATGGAAATGGGACCATTGCTCTCCGGAAGTGTAGGGGGCGCTGTTTCCTATATTATCATATTTTCTTTTGATATCTGTGATATATTTAGGAAGGATTTTCTCTCTCAGCCTGTGTGAGACTCTAACTGTGTCTCCTTGCTGCCGGTACCTTCATGATCCTGGTGTTGTAGAACCGGGCCGTGTTCGGGTCGTGCAGGTCGCTGTAGTCGACGGCTCTCTGCAGAGTCTCTGCTGCCCGACTGTAATCTCCTCTGGCGCTGAAGAGCCACTGAGGAGAGACGCCTCTGGACTGAGAGACAGACGGACAGGGGGACAGAGGGACAGAGAGACAATCAGACACAGAGAGACAGAAAGACAGAGAGATGGAGGGGACAGAGACAGAGGGACAGAGAGACAGAGACCGGATGAGAGACACTATTTCTCAATTTTCAGTTAAATTTTACAGTTTAGATGATTTAGTTCATTTTATTTGCTTATTTTCTAGTTGATTTATAATTAGAATGTTTATGTAATTTTAAATACATTCTTTGGTTAATAATTTACTAAATGAGTTAATTAATTTCAGTTTGGACGTGTTTCATAGTATAAATATGTAGGTTTAGATACGTCTTCAGGTTTTTTATTGTCACTAGAGAGAGAACAGGTGGAGGAGTCAGAGCTGAATCCTGTAACTTATTACTTTATCTGGAAAATGGAATAAAACAAACAAAGAGACACATTTCGACATTTTTTACCCTTTGTTGGACCAACACAGTGCTCTATATGTCAGGGTTTCTGTGTGAGTGCATGTGTGTGAGTGCGAGTGTCACATCTCGTCCAGAGAGGATCTTGGTGAGGAGCCGGAGGAGTCTGCACAGGTGGAAGTCATCTGCCTCATCAGAGCGGGGGATTTAGGAGCAGCAGATCCTTCCTTCAGTGCTAGATGATTACGTTCATCGGTAGTCACTCTGGTCGTCTCCTGTTGTTGCATGTTGCTTAAGATAGTGTTTGAGCTTACCAGAAGTTACCTGACCTTTGTATTTTTGCCGCTTCCAGGGTTTTTGTCTCTCCGCTCGTGAGTTCTCCTGCGAGCACCAGCCTGCCTGCTCCGTTGCTCTCCCCGCCGCAGCTTCACTCCTGCAAGCCTCCGGTTCTCCGAACACCCCCTCCTCGCACTCACCTTCGGACCGCCGAACTACCCTCCACTCAGAATCCTGGCACCTCCCCCATGCTACAGCAAACCACCGTGAAGTAGCCCGTTCCACTTCCCTCTCAAATCTATCCGTTCACTCCCAGCCGTCTAAACCGCTTTTCATTTCAGGCCCACCTGGTCGAGTCATTCTCACCCCCTCACTGAAGTCCTGCGGATTGATATATTGTGTGTCCTGTTGAAAAATAAATACTCATTATTTTCTAAGAGACGTGTGGTTTCTGCATGTGGGTCTGAAGCTAAAACCCAACATGTCACTATAGTGACTATTGGAGTTTATTTCATTTTGCTTTCATCACTTTGAAATTTTGATAGATTAATTTTATTACAAAGTCCAAATTTACATACAAAAGAAAACAAAAATGACTTGAGATTTTTGATTTTGGGAATTTTAGTTTTGGACAAATAGCCAATCCAGACACAACCTGTCCTCCACCTGTCCTCCACCTGTCCATCTAAAGGACACCATCGTCCTCCTGTTTCTACCTGCAGCTCAGCTGAGTGCTTGTTGAGGTGAGCGCTGAACTGCAGCACCGTCTGAGCGTAGGAAGTGATGCGTAGCGGCAGGATGTGGTCATGGACCAATCGCAGCACCATCTCCCCCACCAGCTCCGCCAGGCTCCGCCCAGTGACCCCCAGACGACCCCCCAGCACCTCCTGGAGGCGAGGGACGGTGTCCAGCGGCGTGTTGAGGAACGGATAGGCTCTGTCCTGGAGGACAACAAGAATCAGAATCAGACAGGTTCTAGTGGCTCTAGCTCTATGCTTCAGTGACCTGGCAGCCATTATTGTTCTGATGGACCAGAACCGGGCCGTTCTGGGTCGTTACCTCAGTGAACCTCAGCTCCATGGCAGGAACTCCAGCAAATGCAGTGAAGCTGTAGGCGCCGCTGTTCAGGTAGAGCGGTTTGATGCTGAGGAGAGACGCAGCAGTTAGCCTCTAGCTAGCCTGTCGGCCATCTTGTCTAGAGGACTAGAGCTCTGATTGGTTCCTCACATCCTCCAGCTGCCTCCGTCTCTCTCCGCCTGGCTGTAGATGGTCTGACCTGCATGTTTGGGATGCTCCACCTGCAGAGACCCAGGAACAGGAGACACCTGCTGGCTGGATGTGGAACTGCATGCTAGAGTATCTATAGATCAGAGGGATCAAGTCCTGTAACTATTGATTAGCTGCATCTCTGCTGCAAATCAATCAAACACCTGAATCCCCTCAGCAGAACGAGCTCAGCTGGTAACAAGATGATCATTTGGTTCAGGAACATGCAGAGGGGGGAGGAAGGGCCTTGAGCCCCTCACCTCTAAAGGTCTCTGCACAGCCCTGATTGGGTCCAACTTTCAGGGACAAACAGGAAGTGACAGGAGAACTTAGTGCAGGTCAAACTCCTGCATTAAGTATAATCCCAACATCGTCTGCAGGAGAAGATGATGTTGAATTATACTAATGAATCAAAATAACATTTGTGATCTGAACAGATCAAGAACTGAAGGAATCCAGGTACAGATCCCTCTGGATCCCTGTGGATCCCTGTGGATTTCTGTGGATTTCTGTGTCTCGTCTAAACCTTTTCTGCCTGGTTCACATGGTGAGAGTTTTTATACTTTTTCTCTTTCTGAGGATCTTAAGGATGATTATTGATTATAGATCAGATATCATTGTGTGATGATAATTCAGTTGAATGGAAGAAAAACAGAGAGGAATCTACAACATGTTGATGAATCGGCGGCCATGACAGTCAGAGATTCTGGATCTTTAAATAATCTCATCGTTTCTCATCAGTTTGTTTTTTTCTGAGTTAAAGTTTGAGATTCACTGTCAGGTGAGTTTGAACCAAACACTGTAAAACCAAACCTGTTAGAACCAAAATCACGTCTCTGATTTTTAATCTCTGCAGTTTGAAACGTTTCCTCACCTGTCTGATGGCGGCGTCCAGCAGGTCGACCAGCAGAGGACTGGTGGAGGCCGACAGGTGATCATCACCTGGTGAACAACACATCCTGTTACCTCTGATTGGCTGAGAGGAACACGGAGCGTTCTTATTGGCTCAGTTACCCATGATGGCCTGATCCAGACTGAAGTAGGCCACGGCCTTCAGGTGCAGCATGGAGAGGTAACCCTGGGGGTCAAAGGTCACAGTCAGACAGAGTTCAGGTCAGCAACAGGCAGAAAGGGATTCTGGGAAAAACCTCGAGCCATTCCGTCGCTCCGACGTTCCCAAGTCTCCAGCGTCCCAGCTGACGAACAGCAGACTGCGGCGTGGACTGAAACCTGGAAGAACAGGAAGTTCACCTGGAAGTCCAAACAGGAAGTCCAAACAGGAAGTCCACCTGGAAGTCCAAACAGGAAGTCCACGTGTCCAGATGAGTCAGAAACAGGAAGTCCAGGTGAGTCTTACCGTTCTTCACCATGGAGGTGAAGGTTCTGGCCAGCTCCAGCAGGACGGCGGTTCCGACTCCAGACTTCACGGCTCCTGGACCCAGAGAGTCTCGCTGGGCTCCCAGTATGACGTACTGGTCTGGGGTCAGAGGTCACTGGTTTACACCTGGAGGCGTCACCTGGCGGTGTGATGATGTCATACCTGGCTCTCGGCCCTCCAGGGAAGAGAAGATGTTGTTGAGCAGAACCGGAGTCATCAGGTTCTGGACCGACAGCCGGACTCTCCGACCAGAACCGAAGTCCGGACCGAGAACGCAGCGGACGTACGGCAGCCGCCCTCTCCAAGATGGCGGACAGGGAGGACCCGACAGCTGGCTGAGGGGGAGAGGAGGGCAGACAGGTAGCAGCTGAGGGGGCGGGGCCTTAATGAGGAGGCGTGTCCTACCTGAGCAGCTTGGCGGCTACAGTAGCGGTGATTGGCAGCGCCGGGATCAGCGGGAGGCCAGAGGACGGGATGGGAGGAAACCGGGAGAGATTGAAGGACGGGAAGCCGGGAGTGAAGGGGTCACCTGACCCCAGGTGCACCTGCAGGGAGAGGAGCTGATTGGTCAGCAGCTCAGGTGAGTCTCAGGTGAGTCTCAGGTTTCTCTCTCCTACATGTTCAGACACGGCGGTGTGAGCGTTCAGTCCGAGGCGCCGGGGATCCTGTGGCAGGTCAGCGGGGTCAGGGTAGATCAGAGCTCCGCCCCTCCGTTCCTCTGGGCCAATCGGACCTTCTCAGCGAAGCTGACTCCGCCCCCGACCCGCATCACCACCAGGTGACCGACCACCGACACGCCGACACTCCTCAGCCAGTTGAAATCCTCTGGACGGCCGTAGTGGGCGTAGACCACGCCCCCCTGTGGACAGACAGGTGAGTGGGACTGTGGTTGCCATGGAGACCATCACTTCCTGTGCTCCTACCGTGTAATTTCCTGTGGCGCTGTACGGACAGTAATCAGACGGGTTCAGAGGAATCTGTTCAGAAACCAGACCTGCAGAATCCACCAGGTGGAGGGAACTGGTGACGGACCTGCAGAGTTAGGCACCAGAAAGAACCAGTAGAAACCATATCAAATTCAAACCAATCACTGATCAATTTACTGATTGAAACTAAAACAACCTGAGCATCAGATTGTTGCTATGGTAACCTGATTCATGTTACAGTTGAAAAAATAAACTTTACTTCATTAGACAGAATAGGTTAATATTTCTTTAAAACTGTCAGTATAAATGTGAAATTATTATTTATTTTCCTTTTTGTTTTCTATGATTAATATTAATCACCTTATCAAGAGTTATTATGTTATCAATATTGTCAGGATCCATCTTCCAGTATCATGTGTCTTTATTGGTGTATATAACTGTTCAAAGTTTGAATTATTAATTAATTATTTATAATCCGGTTCGTCCTGCTGGATGTGGAGCATCAGATTGTTGCTATGGTAACGACCTCCGCTCTTCCTGATGCTTTAACTTCATGATCAATACTGGATCAATCATTTCTGTTTTTATGGATCAATGATCAGGTTTCTCAGGTTGGTCATTTTCTCTGTCAATCATCTTTTCCATAAATCATCAGAGAGGAACCAGGATTAAACCCAAGAAGAAGAAAATGTCCTGAATCAGCAGATCCTCCACTGATCTCAAAACACTGGACTGGATCCACCGGACTGAGACTATGACAGGGATGGGCACTCCAGGTCCTCAAGGGTCTCCTGCAACTTTTAGATGTTTCTACTTCAACACACCTGAATCAAATAATGAGGTGATTAGCAGAACTCTGCAGAACTTGACTGCATTTAGGAGGTGAGTCAGGTGTTGGATTCAGGTGTTGGATCAGGGAGACAAGCAAGAGTTGCAGGACACCGGCCCTCGAAGACCAGGAGTGAACACCCTGATCTAGATTCTAGAACCTGATGGCCACCGTACCGGATCCAGAGGACCGGTTCTGTTGTGGTAAAAACTTTAAACTGGTGAATATTTTCTGTTCTGAATTTAGTTTCATGGAAACAGGAACCAGGAAGTTATTAATTTATTCTGGATGAGTTTCTACTGGATCGGACCGGTTCTGGTTTAAAAGGTTCTGTCTGTCCTTTTGGGTCCAGCTTCAGTCCCTAAGGGAACCTGAAACTCATCCTGTTGGTTCTGATTGGTTCTGTGTCTTTAAACAGGAAAATGTCCAGTTGTGACTCTCTGGTTCTGATCCAGCGGGTCATAAAGTTGAACCTGATGCAGGATCTGGATCAGTCCGGTTCTGTCTCACCTGTCTGGTACCTGCAGCGTAGCGAACAGCGACTCGGTCCAGGTCCGATCCATCTGCAGCTTCCTGAACCGAGCCAGAACCTCTGAGGCCAGAACCGTTCCCTCTGAGGATCCTGGAGGATGATCGGTTCTGCTGACCCGGCTGCAGCAGAGACAGCCAATCAGAGGGCAGGAAGTACTGGTTACCATGGTAACGGCGTCTACCTGACTGTGCTGAGCAGATCTTCATCCTGCAGCATCTTCCTCATCATCGCCCTCAGCTCCCCCAGGTAAAGCTCCGCCCTCCGTCTGCAGGTCTGTTGGCCCCGCCCCCAGGCTGCTGTAGCCCCGCCTCCTGGGAGCAGAGGCCCCGCCCCCTGAGCACAGCGAGGGCCAATAGGAACGCTGGTAGGATGACATGTCAATCACATGACCAGGTATTGATTTGATCAGGTGATCAATCTGATCTCACCTGCAGTGAAGGCCACGCCCCCACACACACCTAGCAACACACAGCTGCTCCTGTTACCATGGAGACGCCTCAGCAGCCACCCTCTGACGTCACCAACAGGCCCCGCCCCCTCCAGACTAAACTCCTCCCTCTGGGGCGGAGCTTCATCAGACTAGAGAGAGACATTACCATGGTTACAGGGCAGAGGGGGCGGGGCTACGCTCTGCAGGGAGTTACCTGAGTCAGGTGAGCCGTCAGAGTTCCCATGATGCACTGCAGGGAGGAGAACAGAACAGATGGTCCTGATCAGGTCCTCCATGATTCACCTGCTGAACTGTCAGGTCAACCATGGAGGGGTCAAAGGTCAACCATAAATCTGTCTCAGTTTGCTGCTGGTTCTGTAGGTGGAGGCTCAGGCATGCTGTGGGTCGGATCTGAACCAGAACCTGCTGGTCTCCATCAGAAGAACCCGGTTCTGGTTCTGGTTCTAGTCCCTCATGGAACCACCAGGTCCAGTCTGTTCAGGTGGTTCTGATCCATCAGCTGATCGTCTTTATGTCAGATCAATAATCATAGATTATCTGATATTCTGTCAGCAGGTCAAAGGTCATAATGTAACCTGTTCTACTAGAGAAACTGATATTGATTATTGATCAGGTATTGATCTGATAAAATCAAGTAGAACCTGCAGCATAGATCCAGATCAGGTAGATCAGAACCTGATTACATATCAATGGATCTATTATAAAAGTCTATAGATCATCAATCAGAGACAAACTGACCGTCACACTGAGACCCGGTTCTGGTTCTGGTTCTGGTTCTGGTTCTCTGCATTTGGTTTTAATAATCTGTCCAGGTTCAGATTATCTGGTAGAATTTAGGATTATAATCTGTCCCCAGCTTGTCCAGGACGGTTCTGATCCAGTTCATCTCTGTGTCTACAGAACCACAGCAGAACCAGTCAACAGACTGTCAGGGTCCAGTCTGACTGGTTCTGGTTCTGGTTCTGGTCCAGATCTGGTCAGCAGCAGTTCCTCCTCCTGACCAGCAGGGGGAAACATTCTGAAATGTCTCAGTCGGTTCTTACCTTCAGATTGGACCCGGCTGCTCCCTGATCAGAACCAGAACTGCTCTGATCGGGTCAGGCTGAGTTCTGCAGGGTGACCCGGTTCAGCCTGCTGTGATTGGCTGCTCAGAAGGTCAAAGGTCAGCAGAGTGTTTATCAGTTAACTTTATTAACAGATCAGTAAACAGAAGCTGAGCGGGTCCAGTCTGAGGTTCTGGAGTCTAGAACCTCAGACTGGAGAAACCTGGACCCGTTCTACAGAACCAGAACCAGAGGAAGAGTTTTGCTGAATCAGTTCTGTAATGGACCGGTTCTGGTCTGGTTCTCATCAGGTTTTAGTTCAGGTCACAGTTTAAGTTTCTGTTGAAAAGATAAACTAGAATCATCATCATATCAATAAATATTCACTGGTTTATCATTTTCTCTTTGTCTCCAGCAGCTGAGGGTCAAAGGTCATGTTTTACTGATCACATGATCTCATCAGAAACATGATGATGTCACAGCATTAAACCAGATTCATGATTCAGGTTCAGTTTAAAATACTTTATTGATCCTAAAGGAAAAATAACTAAATAATTAATAATTAATGATGTTTTAACAATTTAACTTCTACAGATTCTGTTAGACTCAGAGACAGAACCAGAACCTGGTTCTGAAGGTTCAGAACCAGAACCTCCAGGCCTCATGTTGGACCTTCAGAACCAGCAGAACTTCAGTTGATCTGATTGATTCTCCTACAGATGATCAATACCATCATGATGACTCACTGCCTGCTGAGCCTCTGATTGGTTCCTCTCTAGTTCAGCAGATGTTTCTGTCCTTCACCTGGTAACTGATGACATCATCATCAGCTGCTCGGTGATTGGCTGGTCTGAAGTTAAACCAGGTTAATTCTTATTGGTTCTCTGACCCAGCTCAGAGTGGGCGTGTCTCATGTCACATGACCCTGAGGCAGCAAACAGACCAAGACGGCTCCGCCCACCTGCTGCAAATGTTACCCAGCTGCTCCAGCAGGGGGCGTCTGAGTCCCTGTGTCTGTGGTGATGAAAAGAGAGAAACTCCTGATGTTTCTGATCTTTATAATGTTATAATATTCAGCTCAATCAGCTGATATGATGTAAACAATGAGGCTAAAGATGCAGCAGGACTGAGATCAGTGGCTCAGACACACAAAGCATGTATGACTTTCTGCATGAATAAACACAACATGATGATTGTTCTACTGAGATGAGGAGAGCAGAGGTAGTCAAACAATTCTCCGCTCCTCATTAGGTCAAACACTGAAAATATGAATATCGTGGTTTCATAGGAATCAATAAGCTGCTGCACCATCATCTTCTCTCTATATGATCTCCATGAACTTCCTAGCCGGCTCCTCCAGGCCGGCTCCTGGCCAGTTCCTTGCCGGCTGCACCTGGCCGGCTCCTGGCGGGTTCCTGGCCGGCTCCTCCAGGCCGGCTCCTGGCCAGTTCCTTGCCGGCTGCACCTGGCCGGCTCCTGGCGGGTTCCTGGCCGGCTCCTCCTGGCCGGCTCCTGGCCGGCCCCTCATGGCCGGCTCCTGGCCGGCTCCTCCTGGCCGGCAGTTCCTGGCCGGCTCCTTGCCGGCTCCTCCTGGCCGGTTCCTGGCCGGCTCCTCCTGGCCGGCTCCTGGCCGGTTCCTGGCCGGTTCCTGGCCGGCAGTTCCTGGCCAGCTGTACCTGGCCGGCTCCTGGCGGGTTCCTGGCCGGCTTCTCCTGGCCGGCTCCTCCTGGCCGGCCCCTCATGGCCGGCTCCTCCTGGCCGGCTCCTCCTTGCCGGATCCTTGCCGGCTCCTCCTGGCAGGCTCCTGGCCGGTTCCAGGCCGGCTCCTGGCCGGTTCCTGGCCGGCTCCTGGCCAGCTGCTCCAGACCGGCAGTTCCTGGCCGGTTACTGGCCGGCTCCTGGCCGGTTCCTGGCCGGCTCCTTGCCGGCTCCTCCTGGCAGGCTCCTGGCCGGCTCCTCCTGGCCGGTTCCTGGCCGGCTCCTCCTGGCCGGATCCTGGCCGGCTCCTCCTTGCCGGATCCTGGCCGGCTCCTCCTTGCCGGCTCCTGGCTGGTTCCTGGTTCCTGGTTCCTGGCCGGCTCCTTGCCGGCTCCTCCTGGCAGGCTCCTGGCCAGTTCCAGGCCGGCTCCTGGCCGGTTCCTGGCCGGCTCCTGGCCAGCTGCTCCAGACCGGCAGTTCCTGGCCGGTTACTGGCCGGCTCCTGGCCGGTTCCTGGCCGGCTCCTTGCCGGCTCCTCCTGGCAGGCTCCTGGCCGGCTCCTCCTGGCCGGTTCCTGGCCGGTTCCAGGCCGGCTCCTGGCCGGTTCCTGGCCGGCTCCTTACAGGCTGCACCTGGCCGGCTCCTGGCGGGTTCCTGGCCGGCTCCTCCTGGCCGGCTCCTGGCCGGCAGTTCCTGGCCGGCTCCTTGCCGGCTCCTCCTGGCAGGCTCCTGGCCGGCTCCTTCTGGCCGGCTCCTCCTGGCCGGATACTGGCCGGCTCCTCCTGGCCGGCTCCTGGCCGGCTCCTCCTGGCCGGCTCCTCCTTGCCGGATCCTGGCCGGCTCCTCCTTGCCGGCTCCTGGCCGGTTCCTGGTTCCTGGTTCCTGGCCGGCTCCTTGCCGGCTCCTCCTGGCAGGCTCCTGGCCGGTTCCAGGCCGGCTCCTGGCCGGTTCCTGGCCGGCTCCTGGCCAGCTGCTCCAGACCGGCAGTTCCTGGCCGGTTACTGGCCGGCTCCTGGCCGGTTCCTGGCCGGCTCCTTGCCGGCTCTTCCTGGCAGGCTCCTGGCCGGCTCCTCCTGGCCGGATCCTGGCCGGCTCCTCCTGGCCGGTTCCTTGCCGGCTCCTCCTGGCCGGTTCCTGGCCGGTTCCAGGCCGGCTCCTGGCCGGTTCCTGGCCGGCTCCTTACCGGCTGCACCTGGCCGGCTCCTGGCGGGTTCCTGGCCGGCTCCTCCTGGCCGGCTCCTGGCCGGCAGTTCCTGGCCGGCTCCTTGCCGGCTCCTCCTGGCAGGCTCCTGGCCGGCTCCTTCTGGCCGGCTCCTCCTGGCCGGATACTGGCCGGCTCCTCCTGGCCGGCTCCTGTCCGGCTCCTCCTGGCCGGCTCCTCCTGGCCGGCTCCTGTCCGGCTCCTCCTGGCCGGCTCCTCCTGGCCGGTTCCTGGCCGGCTCCTCCTGGCCGGCTCCTCCTGGCCGGCTCCTCCTGGCTGACTCCTGGCCGGCAGTTCCTGGCCGGCTCCTTGCCGGCTCCTCCTGGCCGGTTCCTGGCCGGATCCTGGCCGGCTCCTCCTGGCCGGCTCCTGTCCGGCTCCTCCTGGCCGGCTCCTCCTGGCCGGTTCCTGGCGGCTCCTCCTGGCCGGCTGCACCTGGCCGGCTTCTCCTGGCCGGCTCCTGCCCGGTTCCTGGCCGGCTCCTCCTTGCCGGATCCTGGCCGGCTCCTACTTGCCGGCTCCTGGCCAGCTGCTCCAGACCGGCAGTTCCTTGCCGGTTACTGGCCGGCTCCTGGCTGGTTCCTGGCCGGCTCATTGCTGGCTCCTCCTGGCAGGCTCCTGGCCGGCTCGTACTTGCCGGCTCTGGCCGGCTCTTTGCCGGCTCCTGGCGGGTTCCTGGCCGGCTCCTCCTGGCCGGTTCCTAGCCGGCTCCTGGCCGGCTCCTTGCCGGCTCATTGCCGGCTCCTCCTGGCAGGCTCCTGGGTTCCTTGCCGGCTCCTCCTGGCCGGTTCCTGGCCGGTTCCTGGCCGGCTCCTCCTTGCCGGATCCTTGCCGGCTCCTCCTGGCCGGTTCCTGGCCGGCTCCCTCCTGGCAGGTTCCTGGCCGGCTCCTGGCCGGTTCCTGGCCGGCTCCTTGCCGGCTCCTCCTGGCCGGTTCCTGGCCGGCTCCCTCCTGGCCGGATCCAGGCCGGTTCCTGGCCGGCTCCACCTTGCCGGCTCCTGGCCGGTTCCTGCTTCCTGGCCGGCTCCTCCTGGCCGGTTCCTGGCCGGTTCCAGGCCGGCTCCTGGCCGGTTCCTGGCCGGCTTCTCCTGGCCGGCTCCTCCTGGCAGGCTCCTGGCTGGTTCCCGGCCGGCTCCTCCCGGCCGGCTCCTGGCCGGCAGTTCCTGGCCGGCTTCTCCTGGCCGGCTGCACCTGGCCGGCTCCTGGCGGGTTCCTGGCCCGCTCCTCCTGGCCGGTTCCTGGCCGGCTCCTTCTGGCCGGCTCCTCCAGACGGGTTCCTGGCCGGCTCCTGGCTGGCTTCTCCTGGCCGGCTACTCCTGGCCGGCTCCCTCCTGGCCGGATCCTGGCCAGTTCTTGGCCAGTTCCTCCTTGCCGGATCCTGGCCGGCTCCTGGCCGGCCCCTCCCGGCCGGCTCATGGCTGGCAGTTCCTGGCCGGCTTCTCCTGGCCGGCTCCTGGACGGCTCGTCCTGGCCGGTTCCTTGCCGGCTTCTCCTGGCCGGATCCTGGCCGGCTCCTTGCCGGCTCCTTGCCGGCTCCTCCTGGCCGGTTCCTGGCCGGCTTCTCCTGGCCGGCTCCTCCTGGCCGGATCCTGGCCGGCTCCTGGCGGTTCCTGGCCGGTTCCTGGCCGGCTCCTCCTGGCCGGTTCCTGGCCGGCTCCTTCTGGCCGGCTCCTCCTGACCGGTTCCTCCTTGCCGGATCCTGGCTGGCTCCACCTTGCCGGCTCCAGGCCGGTTCCTGGTTCCTGGTTCCTGGCCGGCTCCTTGCCGGCTCTCCTGGCCGGTTCCAGGCCGGCTCCTGGCCGGCTCCTTGCCGGCTCCTCCTGGCCGGCCCCTCCCGGCCGGCTCCTTGCCGGCTCCTCCTGGCCGGCCCCTCCTTGCCGGATCCTGGCCGGCTCCTACTTGCCGGCTCCTGGCCAGCTGACCCTAACCCTCTAGTTCAGCAGATGTTTCTGTCCTTCACCTGGTAACTGATGACATCATCATCAGCTGCTCGGTGATTGGCTGGTCTGAAGTTAAACCAGGTTAATTCTTATTGGTTCTCTGACCCAGCTCAGAGTGGGCGTGTCTCATGTCACATGACCCTGAGGCAGCAAACAGACCAAGACGGCTCCGCCCACCTGCTGCAAATGTTACCCAGCTGCTCCAGCAGGGGGCGTCTGAGTCCCTGTGTCTGTGGTGATGAAAAGAGAGAAACTCCTGATGTTTCTGATCTTTATAATGTTATAATATTCAGCTCAATCAGCTGATATGATGTAAACAATGAGGCTAAAGATGCAGCAGGACTGAGATCAGTGGCTCAGACACACAAAGCATGTATGACTTTCTGCATGAATAAACACAACATGATGATTGTTCTACTGAGATGAGGAGAGCAGAGGTAGTCAAACAATTCTCCGCTCCTCATTAGGTCAAACACTGAAATATGAATATCGTGGTTTCATAGGAATCAATAAGCTGCTGCACCATCATCTTCTCTGCTATGATCTCCATGAACTTCCTAGCCGGCTCCTCCAGGCCGGCTCCTGGCCAGTTCCTTGCCGGCTGCACCTGGCCGGCTCCTGGCGGGTTCCTGGCCGGCTCCTGGCCGGCTCCTGGCCGGCCCCTCATGGCCGGCTCCTGGCCGGCTCCTCCTGGCCGGCAGTTCCTGGCCGGCTCCTTGCCGGCTCCTCCTGGCCGGTTCCTGGCCGGCTCCTCCTGGCCGGCTCCTGGCCGGTTCCTGGCCGGTTCCTGGCCGGCAGTTCCTGGCCAGCTGTACCTGGCCGGCTCCTGGCGGGTTCCTGGCCGGCTTCTCCTGGCCGGCTCCTCCTGGCCGGCCCCTCATGGCCGGCTCCTCCTGGCCGGCTCCTCCTTGCCGGATCCTTGCCGGCTCCTCCTGGCAGGCTCCTGGCCGGTTCCAGGCCGGCTCCTGGCCGGTTCCTGGCCGGCTCCTGGCCAGCTGCTCCAGACCGGCAGTTCCTGGCCGGTTACTGGCCGGCTCCTGGCCGGTTCTGGCCGGCTCCTTGCCGGCTCCTCCTGGCAGGCTCCTGGCCGGCTCCTCCTGGCCGGTTCCTGGCCGGCTCCTCCTGGCCGGATCCTGGCCGGCTCCTCCTTGCCGGATCCTGGCCGGCTCCTCCTTGCCGGCTCCTGGCCTGGTTCCTGGTTCCTGGCCCGGCCGGTCCTGCATCCTGGCGGCTCCTGGCTCCTGCCGGTTCCAGGCCGGCTCCTGGCCGGTTCCTGGCCGGCTCCTGGCCAGCTGCTCCAGACCGGCAGTCCTGGCCGGTTACTGGCCGGCTCCTGGCCGGTTCCTGGCCGGCTCCTTGCCGGCTCCTCCTGGCAGGCCCTGGCCGGCTCCTCCTGGCCGGTTCCTGGCCGGCTCCTCCTGGCCGGATCCTGGCCGGCTCCTCCTGGCCGGTTCCTTGCCGGCTCCTCCTGGCCGGTTCCTGGCCGGTTCCAGGCGGCTCCTGGCGGGTTCCTGGCGGCTCCTTACAGGCTGCACCTGGCCGGCTCTGGCGGGTTCCTGGCCGGCTCCTCCTGGCCGGCTCCTGGCCGGCAGTTCCTGGCCGGCTCCTTGCCGGCTCCTCTGGCAGGCTCCTGGCCGGCTCCTTCTGGCCGGCTCCTCCTGGCCGGATACTGGCCGGCTCCTCCTGGCCGGCTCCTGGCCGGCTCCTCCTGGCCGGCTCCTCCTTGCCGGATCCTGGCCGGCTCCTCCTTGCCGGCTCCTGGCCGGTTCCTGGTTCCTGGTTCCTGGCCGGCTCCTTGCCGGCTCCTCCTGGCAGGCTCCTGGCCGGTTCCAGGCCGGCTCCTGGCCGGTTCCTGGCCGGCTCCTGGCCAGCTGCTCCAGACCGGCAGTTCCTGGCCGGTTACTGGCCGGCTCCTGGCCGGTTCCTGGCGGCGGCTCGCCGGCTCTTCCTGGCAGGCTCCTGGCCGGCTCCTCCTGGCCGGTTCCTGGCCGGCTCCTCCTGGCCGGATCCTGGCCGGCTCCTCCTGGCCGGTTCCTTGCCGGCTCCTCCTGGCCGGTTCCTGGCCGTTTCCAGGCCGGCTCCTGGCCGGTTCCTGGCCGGCTCCTTACCGGCTGCACCTGGCCGGCTCCTGGCGGGTTCCTGGCCGGCTCCTCCTGGCCGGCTCCTGGCCGGCAGTTCCTGGCCGGCTCCTTGCCGGCTCCTCCTGGCAGGCTCCTGGCCGGCTCCTTCTGGCCGGCTCCTCCTGGCCGGATACTGGCCGGCTCCTCCTGGCCGGCTCCTGTCCGGCTCCTCCTGGCCGGCTCCTCCTGGCCGGCTCCTGTCCTCCTGTCCGGCTCCTCCTGGCTCTCCTCCTGGCGGTTCCTGGCCGGCTCCTCCTGGCCGGCTCCTCCTGGCCGGCTCCTCCTGGCTGACTCCTGGCCGGCAGTTCCTGGCCGGCTCCTTGCCGGCTCCTCCTGGCCGGTTCCTGGCCGGATCCTGGCCGGCTCCTCCTGGCCGGCTCCTGTCCGGCTCCCTCCTCCTGGCCCTCCTGGCCGGTTCCTGGCCGGCTCCTCCTGGCCGGCTGCACCTGGCGGCTTCTCCTGGCGGCTCCTGCCCGGTTCCTGGCCGGCTCCTCCTTGCCGGATCCTGGCCGGCTCCTACTTGCCGCTCCTGGCCAGCTGCTCCAGACCGGCAGTTCCTTGCGGTTACTGGCCGGCTCCTGGCTGGTTCCTGGCCGGCTCGTACTTGCCGGCTCCTGGCGGCTCTGGCCGGCTCGCCGGCTCCTGGCGGGTTCCTGGCCGGCTCCTCCTGGCCGGTTCCTAGCCGCTCCTGGCCGGCTCCTTGCCGGCTCATTGCCGGCTCATTGCCGGCTCCTCCTGGCAGGCTCCTGGCCGGTTCCTTGCCGGCTCCTCCTGGCCGGTTCCTGGCCGGTTCCTGGCCGGCTCCTCCTTGCGGATCCTTGCCGGCTCCTCCTGGCCGGTTCCTGGCCGGCTCCCTCCTGGCAGGTTCCTGGCCGGCTCCTGGCCGGTTCCTGGCCGGCTCCTTGCCGGCTCCTCCTGGCCGGTTCCTGGCCGGCTCCCTCCTGGCCGGATCCAGGCCGGTTCCTGGCCGGCTCCACCTTGCCGGCTCCTGGCCGGTTCCTGCTTCCTGGTTCCTGGCCGGCTCCTCCTGGCCGGTTCCTGGCCGGTTCCAGGCCGGCTCCTGGCCGGTTCCTGGCCGGCTTCTCCTGGCCGGCTCCTCCTGGCAGGCTCCTGGCTGGTTCCCGGCCGGCTCCTCCCGGCCGGCTCCTGGCCGGCAGTTCCTGGCCGGCTTCTCCTGGCCGGCTGCACCTGGCCGGCTCGGCGGGTTCCTGGCCCGCTCCTCCTGGCCGGTTCCTGGCCGGCTCCTTCTGGCCGGCTCCTCCAGACGGGTTCCTGGCCGGCTCCTGGCTGGCTTCTCCTGGCCGGCTACTCCTGGCCGGCTCCCTCCTGGCCGGATCCTGGCCAGTTCTTGGCCAGTTCCTCCTTGCCGGATCCTGGCGGCTCCTGGCGGCCCCTCCCGGCCGGCTCATGGCTGGCAGTTCCTGGCCGGCTTCTCTGGCCGGCTCCTGGACGGCTCGTCCTGGCCGGTTCCTTGCCGGCTTCTCCTGGCCGGATCCTGGCCGGCTCCTTGCCGGCTCCTCCTGGCCGGTTCCTGGCCGGCTTCTCCTGGCCGGCTCCTCCTGGCCGGATCCTGGCCGGCTCCTGGCCGGTTCCTGGCCGGTTCCTGGCCGGCTCCTCCTGGCGGTTCCTGGCCGGCTCCTTCTGGCCGGCTCCTCCTGACCGTTCCTCCTTGCCGGATCCTGGCTGGCTCCACCTTGCCGGCTCCAGGCCGGTTCCTGGTTCCTGGTTCCTGGCCGGCTCCTCCTGGCCGGCTCCTCCTGGCCGGTTCCTCCTGGCCGGCTTCTCCTGGCCGGCTCCTCCTGGCAGGCTCCTGGCTGGTTCCCGGCCGGCTCCTCCCGGCCGGCTCCTGGCCGGCAGTTCCTGGCCGGCTTCTCCTGGCCGGCTGCACCTGGCCGGCTCCTGGCGGGTTCCTGGCCCGCTCCTCCTGGCCGGTTCCTGGCCGGCTCCTTCTGGCCGGCTCCTCCAGACGGTTCCTGGCCGGCTCCTGGCTGGCTTCTCCTGGCCGGCTACTCTGGCCGGCTCCCTCCTGGCCGGATCCTGGCCAGTTCTTGGCCAGTTCCTCCTTGCCGGATCCTGGCCGGCTCCTGGCCGGCCCCTCCCGGCCGGCTCATGGCTGGCAGTTCCTGGCCGGCTTCTCCTGGCCGGCTCCTGGACGGCTCGTCCTGGCCGGTTCCTTGCCGGCTTCTCCTGGCCGGATCCTGGCCGGCTCCTTGCCGGCTCCTCCTGGCCGGTTCCTGGCCGGCTTCTCTGGCCGGCTCCTCTGGCCGGATCCTGGCGGCTCCTGGCCGGTTCCTGGCCGGTTCCTGGCCGGCTCCTCCTGGCCGGTTCCTGGCCGGCTCCTTCTGGCCGGCTCCTCCTGACCGGTTCCTCCTTGCCGGATCCTGGCTGGCTCCACCTTGCCGGCTCCAGGCCGGTTCCTGGTTCCTGGTTCCTGGCCGGCTCCTCCTGGCCGGCTCCTCCTGGCCGGTTCCTCCTGGCCGGTTCCTCCTTGCCGCATCCTGGCTGGCTCCACCTTGCCGGCTCCAGGCCGGTTCCTGGTTCCTGGTTCCTGGCCGGCTCCTTGCCGGCTCCTCCTGGCCGGTTCCAGGCCGGCTCCTGGCCGGCTCCTTGCCGGCTCCTCCTGGCCGGCCCCTCCCGGCCGGCTCCTTGCCGGCTCCTCCTGGCCGGCCCCTCCTTGCCGGATCCTGGCCGGCTCCTACTTGCCGGCTCCTGGCAGCTGCTCCAGACCGGCAGTTCCTTGCCGGTTACTGGCCGCCTCCTGGCCGGCTCCTCCTGGCCGGCTCCTCCTGGCCGGCTCCTCCTGGCCGGTTCCTTGCGGCTTCTCCTGGCCGGATCCTGGCCGGCTCCTTGCCGGCTCCTCCTGGCCGGTTCCTGGCCGGCTTCTCCTGGCCGGCTCCTCCTGGCCGGTTCCTGGCCGGCTCCTTCTGGCCGGCTCCTCCTGACCGGCCCCTCATGGCCGGCTCCTCCTGGCCGGCCCCTCATGGCCGGCTCCTCCTGGCCGGTTCCTCCTTGCCGGATCCTGGCTGGCTCCACCTTGCCGGCTCCAGGCCGGTTCCTGGTTCCTGGTTCCTGGCCGGCTCCTTGCCCGCTCCTCCTGGCCGGTTCCAGGCCGGCTCCTGGCCGGCTCCTTGCCGGCTCTCCTGGCCGGCCCCTCCGGGCCGGCTCCTTGCCGGCTCCTCCTGGCCGGCCCCTCCTTGCCGGATCCTGGCCGGCTGCTCCAGACCGGCAGTTCCTTGCCGGTTACTGGCCGCCTCCTGGCCGGCTCCTCTGGCCGGCTCCTCCTGGCCGGCTCCTCCTTGCCGGCTCCTGGCCGGTTCCTGGATCCTGGATCCTCTAAATTTCATCTTTATAAGCCAGAGCAGAATAGACAAAGAGGAGGTGGAGTCTGGTTTAATTCTGCCTTCACCTGTAAGCAAATTAACTTTTTATCTTTTCAATATGTTGCCTTGAAACTAAACTCATCCTCTTGTATTTTGTTGCTGAATATTTACAGAAATTCTGTGCAAATCGATTATTTCACTGAATTATTGTCCGATTCAGGTTGATTTTGTTCTTATTGGTGATTTTAACTTTCATCGACAATGCATTGCAGTAAAGAGCTTCTTCATATCCTGAATAACTACAGACTCATCATGGACACACATTATTATTTCCAAAAGACTCATTATATCTAACATTGTAGTGCTTGATGTAGCATTTTCAGATCACTTTTGTACTTTTTGTTTTTTAAAAATAATCTCCCACCTTCAATCTGTTGGATTAAAATGCTCTGAAGTTCAGATCCTGGATCCTGATCTGAACTTCAACAATCAAATCAAATCTATCATAAAAACATCAAACTACCATCTAAAAAGTATTGCTGAAATTAGACGACCCATTTCCCCCAAGACTCTGAGAAATTAGTTCATGCTTTCATTTTTAGTAGACGCGATTACTGCATTTTTACTGGATTATATAAAAAAGCAACCAGAGCTCCAGTTCCTCCAGAACGAAGCTGCAAGAGCCCTGAGTGAAACAAGAAGAGATCAGCACATCAGTCCATTTCTCACATCCCTGCACTGTTGCTCAAAGAACTGAATTTAAATTCTCCTTAATAGTTTATAAAACCACAGCTGTTTCATAAGTTCCTGATCTTCTACAACCATATAAACACTTAGACCTTTAAGAAAATCACAATCAAACATATAACTATTCAGAGTCAGAATTAAATGGTTTTTCTGCTCCAACTGTAGCATATTTGAAAAGACAATCTAAATTGTTATTCAATATAAATGGCTTTTAACCAAGATAATAGGCAGTTTCCTTTCAGAAGAATAGGTACGACTCACGAAAGCAGTTAGGCTAGAGTTTGCAGCTGCGAGTGTTTTTATTTGCAATGTGAATATCATATATACATATTTACAACCACAACATTGGGATATGCAAATGGCCATCAAGGGAAAAAAAACAAAACAATGAAATAAAAAGGAAAACAGAGGAGAAAAGAAGAAACACAACAAAGGGGAAAAAAAACAAATTAATCAATCGTTCCCAAAGTTCATTTTAAACCCCTTAGTCCATCCACCCCGAATGGGGATTAATCAGGCTTGCAAACAAGGCGAGTATCCAGGGCGTGGTTCACGTCCTGGGTAATTGAAAGTCCAATCAAAGAAGGAGCAGAGTCCTTTGTAGGATTCTCCTACCAGCTGGGTAGGAGAAGTAAGCAGTCCTCTGTCCAACAGGTGAAATCTTTCTTTGGCTCTAGGCCTGGTCTCATAGCTCACCATCCACCTGGCCTGAATAACAAAACAGGACCACTTCCTCAATATATATTGATATGATCTAACATTTAGTGTATACACAATTCAATAAATAACATTTTGTGTTATAAATAATTCTATCATTTGATCAATTGCAATTTCATTAAATCTAAAATTCAATATAAATTACATTCATGAAACAGTCAATAAATATACACCATATTATCAATTAACATGAAATGTAAAATACTAATATAAACCAGTGTTCAATAAATACTTCAATTACCCGTTTTGTTTATCAAAAGGAGTGTACAATCAGTTTTCTTTAGTGGCTACACAACAGCAGTGATTATAAGCCAACGCTAAGTCATTCACAAAAACACTCACCAGTTCCGCAGTTTGTGTCATACTACCGGATCTTTTTCATCTCACTTTCCGGCTCACAATAATGGGCTCCTGCCAGCTCTGCTCCTTCCAACGCGTTCTACCCTTCACGCCCTTTTGCTTGAGCTAATATACCTAGCCGGTAAACTGGAAAGGTACATGTGACCCCAGTACTCAACCGCGATTGGCTAAACGATAATCTCGCGAGAATCAATCATAATACTATTAAAACATCGCGAGATTTGAGGCTAAAAGGCAAAAGAGTAGAAAATCAGAGGAATTGAAGGTTTAAAATTACACTCGGGTTACACCAACTCTCTGTAATAAACTTCCTGCTCATTGTCAGACTGACCTACTTTAAGTTTATTTAAAACAAGGTTAAAAACCTTCTTATGTTAGTGGTCTATTCTTACATTTTTAATACTTTGTCTATTTTTAATCTATTTGATCTTTTATTATTTACTATCTTCTTGTTTTATATTGTTTTTAACTCTTATAGAAACACTGAATTGTCTTTATGCTATATAAATCAAGTTTTCTTATTGACTTCCTGGACGGCAGCAGCTACAGCAGCAGAGAACTGAACCTCCATCATCCTGGAGTTTGATGGTAAAACTAGAAACATGGAGAGAAAAACTGCTGCTGAATTAATTTATAGTAAAATAAATCAAACCACAGATTATATTAAAGTTATTATTGAACAGATGATGAGGGAACATTGTGACTCCAGAGGTTCTGCTGTTGGTTCTGGTTCTGAACTGGATGAATAAACAAGAAACTGATAGAAATAATTGATCATTTATTAACTGAAACAGTCGATCCAGTTACATAAAAACCATCAGATTAAAGTTTCATGTTTTAATGAATGAAAAGATTTAAACTTTCAAAATAGTTTATATTAAATTTACATCAATGAAGAAAATGATTAAAGTGAAAAAACAGTTTGAAAATGAACATAAATCAGATAAACCATCAGCCAATCAGCTTTAACCAATCAGCTCCAACGAGCCAATCAGCTCTAACCAGCCAATCAGCTCTAACCAATCAGCTCCAACCAGCCAATCAGCTGCACTCGTTCCCTTTGATCAGGAAGAAAGTTCCCACAGCGACTCCCAGCAGGCCGATGGTCAGACCGACTCCACAGAAGATGGCCGGACCGGAACCGGACTGAGGATTGTTCATCTCCACATCTGGAGACACAAGAAACATCTGGATGTTTAGATCAATCAGGATCAATCAGGTTCATCAATACATTAAAGGTTCCTGTTGATGCTGGTGGTCTAGTCAAAGTCTCCTCACCCCAGGTTGTGGTCTTTGGTTCTTTCAGGGCCAGATGTTCCACTGAACAGCTGTAAATGTCTCCCAGCTGAGGGACAAAGTGCAGCCTGGAGATCTGGGTGAAGGTTGAGTCTTTACTGGGAAAAGGAACGTTGATGCTGGTTCCTTCAGTCACTTTCTCTCCGTTTCTGGTCCAGGAGACGTTGACCGGAGGCGGATAGAAACCAGAGACGTGACAGACCAGGATGTTCTTCTCTCCCAGCTCCACATCGTCTCTGGGGTAAATAACCAGACCAGAGGGGGCATCTGGGGAGAAACCAGGGCAGAAAGCAGGGGTTAACTGGAGGAACAGGACCAGATGGAGGAACTGGATCAGAACCTCTGATGGTGGATCAGTTTGATCAGAGTCTATAATGTCCAGAGAAGCAGAAGAACTGATGACCTGATGATCAATAAATGTCTTTTTTTTAATCTGTCAATTTTATATTTTGTACATTAATATTTTGTGGTCTAATTAATATTGAACAAGTAGAATCAATCCAGATTTCATCATGAATCAAGCAGATGAACAATTCATTGATCGAACAATGAAATAAATCAACTCCACTAAAGTTATGAGGCTTCAGCTGCTGGTGACTGAATCATCATCACTTCCTGCTCTCAACTTCCTGTTGTCCTGAATCTCAAGGATAAATCTGCACTAAGTTCAAACTGGACCTAAAAAGTCCAACCCAAACCGAGTCCATAGAGTTTGAGCCCGGTCCAACCCGACTCATTTTAATTAAGCAGCTCCACTTGAATAAGCAGCACAACTTCTGTCAGCTTTCATTAACATTTTGCTGCTTTAGTTTATCTTTTGTTTTAATTCAGGATCAATCAAGTGCAGATCTGATTATTGATTGAAAGAATTTTATCTCCACAGCAGGTCAGGATGGAGCTTAGAGGGCATTTGTTGTGCTGCACACTGTTTGTTCCAGTCTAATCAACTCATTACTTTATTATTTTATCAAGATAAACTCCATTTATTAACACAACATAAAGTTCTCTTTAGATTTTTAGGAGGAATCTGCATAATCAGCAGGAATCATAAAGTTCTCTAAAGCATTCTGGGTAATTGTTGCCGTGACCTTGGATTTAAGAAAACAGGTTATCAACACAACAGATCTGAAATCATGATCTATAACCAGAACTTTTAACATTTAGAATGGAGTTATGAGAATTAAACTACTTTTACACAATATTCTAATTATATTTATATTATTATTAAATACAACAGGAGGAACCAGAGGAAACAAGAGGCAGCTGGAGACAATTGATGGAGACTCACTGAACACAGAAACCTGAATTAACACAGAAAAAAAAACAAAACCGCACAATAAAACACTGTAAGATACTTTAATTATTAATAAACAGAGTAATGATAGTAGATAAATATAATAAATCCTGCAATAAAGTCTGATGCTTTATTTATCATCACATCAGATCTTTAGACATGTTTCCTCACAGACTGGACAGAATTTATTAACTTATGATGTATTAATAATTAACAGATTATTGCAGATCAAAGAATAAAATAAATCAGTTTAAATAATTATTGATCTTTACCTCGTTCCAGAGGAATATCCTTCATAGCTTTACGCCTGATCCCCAGGTTTGTTTGCAGACCTGTTGATTCGCCACAGCTGATTCATAACCTCCTGGGTAGCTCACATGACCAACAAAAGGAGGTTGAGGTTCGACTCCTTGTTTCTTCTTGAAGTCAGCGAACCAGACCTCTTCTCCATCCAGACCGTACATGTCCTCTCCATCAGAGTCTGAACATCCAACGATATTAATGTCCTCATGAAGAACTAGAGACACAGAGACACTGATCAACAACCAGAACCAGAACCTGCACAACCCACTGGGTCCATCAGAACCAGTTTGGACCCTTTAGAACCAGTTTGGACCATCAGAACCAGTTTGGACCCATCAGAACCAGTCTGGACCATCAGAACCAGTCTGGACCATCAGAACCAGTCTGGACCATCAGAACCGGGTCAGAACCAGTGTAACTCACCATCAGCAGAGACCCAGAGGACCCCGCAGAGGAAGAGGAGCAGCTTCATCTTCATCATGTCTGAGACTCAGAGACTCTGAGAGAAACTGAAGCTGCTGCTGGAACCAAACGCTGGCAGCAGCCAATCAGAGGGCAGCAGGGCTCTGACGTCACCAGTAGCCAGGTAGAGGAAGGCTGGAGCTGAGAGCTGCTGGAGAGACCAGGAACTGGTTCTGGAGGAAACCAGCAGAACCAACAGAACCGACTGGTTTGGAGAGGATTTAGTGGATTTTTTGGTTCTCATCAAAGATCAGCTGATCTAATGTGGGAGAAACTGAATAAATATGAATTAAATATATTTATTACAGAAAAATCTAATAACATTTCTTGTCATTAATGTTACATTTGTTTTTTTCAGTTTAGTTGCTTTATTTTTCTATTTACTTTAATGATCATCAACTGAAGCTTAAACTCATAAAATAGGATAATAATTAACCTCCAACTGTAGGAAATATTTATTCATGTTTTACAATGCATTCAGTTTTTATTTCATAATATTTATCAATAGATTTATTAGAAGTGACTTCAGCTGATTATAGATTAGGGATCAATAACCTGAAGTTCAGAGATGTGAGTCAGAATAAATGGAGACAAAAATAAACTATAAAGATCAAACTGTATATTGTTACATGTTAAATATAAAGTCATATTTCTATAATGTGACTTTCATCCTTTCCAGTTAAACCAGTCTGAACCAGCACTTGGGTCCAGTATCTAGGTTCTGACTAATATTCTACTGAATATTATCTAGGATTTATTCTGGTTCCGTCTGAGCCCAGATTCTGGTTCTGGTTCTACATGATCACTGGTTCTTCAGGTGGAACCAGAACCAGCATAGAACCAGAACCAGAACCAGAACCTGGGTTAGAAAGTTACTGCAGACAGAAAGAGGTGAGAAAGAACCAGAACCAGAACAGATCCAGTGTCTCTCATCTCCAGCTTGAGTCTCTTCTACCTGGCAACCAGTGAGTCAGAGGTCATGTGACTCTGTTCTGGTTTTTACAGCAGTTCCCATCAGAACCAGTTAGTTCCTCTGACTGGGAGACACAGAGAGACACAGAGACACAGAGAGACACTGAGAGACATAGAGAGACATAGAGAGACAGAGACACAGATAGACACAGAGACACAGAGACACACAGAGACACAGAGACACAGAGAGACACAGAGACACAGAGAGACACAGAGAGACAGAGAGACACACAGAGACATGGCTCCATCACTGCTCTGCTGGCTGCTGGTCATCATCACCGTCCACTCTGCAGGTATGATCAATAACTGATAATCACTGTTATCATGATCAATACTCTGGTAGCAACTACCAGTTGCTACCAGACATCATTCTATAATTGATCAATAATAAGGCTTTAAAATGAAATGTAGTCTGAAGCTTGAAGGATCAATGTTCTGATCAATGCTGTAATCAATATTTATCAATGTATTAACATTTATTTATCAGCAGAACAGATAGGATCAGTAATCAATACTAATATCTGGATCAATATTCATTTTTTAAATATAATCACTGTTTGCTAATCCAGGTTACATTCAGGCAAAATGTTCAATATTCTAATTATTGATCACTGATTAATACAGTAATTTCCACTCCAGACTACAAACTGATCATCAACACATTTTATAATCAGTTATTGGTATATTGATAACTGAGCAATGTGAACTCTCCATACCTGATCAATATTGACAGAGCAGGTTGGATCAATAACTGATAACTGATCAGCTGTTAATGAATTAATTTATACAGATTTTTCAGTTGATAATTTGATCAATAATTAACTGATAATTAAAACCATCATAAATATTCTGATCACTATAGTAATCAATAGTGTTGATAATCTGTAAATCAGGATCAATGATTCTGATCAGTTTATTCTGTTTTATGTTACATCATTTCCTGTCCAGCTGGACCAATCAGGAAGCTGATCAATATGTTAATAATTGATAAATGTGCTTCTACTTCATTCCCTTTCAGAACATAAAGCATCAATGAAATGATAATCAATAATGTTCTGATTGATCAACTCTGAGGTTCTGTTCTGGTTCCAGATGGATTTCTGAATTACAGATTGTCTCGTTGTGTCTTTAACTCCACTGATCTGAATGACATCGAGTTCATCAGATCCTACATTTACAACAAGCTGGAGATCTTCAGGTTCAGCAGCAGTTTGGGGAGATTTGTTGGATACACAGAATATGGAGTGAAGCAGGCAGAATACAGGAACAATAATCCTTCAATTATTGGATCAGCGAAAGCTCAGAAGGAAGCCTACTGCCAACACAACATTGGTAACTGGTACCAGAACATGCTGGATAAATCAGGTGAGTTTGATTTGATCATTTCCTCATTGATCCTCTGATCAGTTCTGACTGATGATCAATAAACTGGATCAATCAGTCATCACTTATTGATTATTGATTAAACATTCAACTCTGATGTCATCAAATGATCAATATTTATCTGATCATGGATCTGATCAGCTGATCTATAGAGATCCAATCACTGATCAGGTTATTGATCAACTATTTACTATTAATCAATATTAAATATTTTACAGTAATAAATTCATCATCAATATTAAATGTATAGAAACATTTTATTTCTGTTTGCAAACAACAAAGAAAAATAAAATAATTTTCTGTTAATTGATCATAAATATAAACATCATTATAGAAATTAAATACAGAAGTTTCATTTAGTTATAGACAAACCAATATATAACGTCCAGATCTATTATTATTGATCTGTGATTATCTATAATAATAACTTAGTTAATCTGAACTCTGGTCTGTTTATGATTAATAATTATAACTATATAAACCTGATATAATCTGTTTGGATCAATAACCTGAATAAACTTTCATTTCCTCCAGTTCTGGTTAAACTGGTTTCATCATCAATAATCAATGATCATATTGATATAATCATAGAAATAATTCCTGTTACATGTATGAATTCCTAATTAATAATGAACCAATAACCTGTTATTGATCTCCCAGTGGCTCCCACCGTCAGACTCTTCTCCACTGCGCCCTCTGGTGGCCACCATCCCTCCATGCTGGTCTGCAGAGTTTATGATTTCTATCCTAAAACCATCAAAGTTCGTTGGCTGAGAGACGGACAGGAAGTGACATCAGACGTTACGACCACTGACGAGATGGAGGACGGAGACTGGTACTACCAGGTCCACTCTACGCTGGAGTACACGCCCAGGTGGGTCAGAACCAGAACCAGAAGAACCATTAAAACCAGTAGAGCCATAACTAGAACCATTAGAACCAGAACTTCTAGAACCAGAACCACTGGTACTACCAGGTCCATTCTACTCTGGAGTACACGCCCAGATGGGTCAGAACCAGAACCAATAGAACCATTAAAACCACTGGGACAATTACAACCAGAACCACTGGTACTACCAGGTCCATTCCATGCTGGAGTATATGCACAGTATATCCACTCTCGCTAGAGTGTGTACTCAGAATCAGAACTAGATCTTCTGAGACAACTGGGACCAGAACCTCTGAAGTCTGACCCGGTTCTTTGGTTCTGACCCGGTTCTGTTGGTGTCTCTCTCTTCAGGTCTGGAGAGCAGATCTCCTGCAGGGTGGAACATGTCAGCCTGAAGGAACCTCTGATCACCGACTGGGGTAAGAAGGACTGGAGACACCTGGAGGAGACACCTGCTGTCTCACCTGTTTCTACCTGTCCTCATGTCTCTATCTGTTTCTACCTGTCTCCATGTCCCCCTCCTGTCCTCGTGTCTCCATGTCCCTCCAGACCCGTCCATGCCGGAGTCAGAGAGGAACAAACTGGCCATCGGAGCTTCAGGACTGATCCTGGGTCTGATTCTGTCTCTGGCTGGATTCATCTACTACAAGAGGAAGGTCAAAGGTCAGAACCAGTTTAAAGCCAGTTTAGACAGGCTCATTATAGAACCAGAACACATTTAGGCCCGGTCCAAATCCTCTCTGTGCCTCGTTCATGTTGGAGGTTAAAGGTCACAGTGTGTCTCTCATCCTCTGTTCATCCATCTTGGATCCTGTTTCCTCCTTTAATGAGTCTGCAGTTTTAGACTTCAGTGAACTGCATTACCCACAATGCATGCGGCATGTCATGTTTTGAGTTAAAAGGTGGATTTATGAAAATGTTTTTTTTCCATCCAAGATTAAAAGAAAATATCAAGACATTAGTATTAAAAACATTTGATTTGATAAACTGAACAGAAAAATAAAATTAATCACAAACTGAGGAAAATAAAACAAAATGTCAGAAATGCAGAACAAATTTCAAAACTTAAATTAAGATATTAACATATTATAAAGACTGGGATTTTATAATTTTACTTAAACACTTTCTAAAAGTAAATGATTTCACTTTAAAACCAAAGGATTAAATATCATAATTTAATTCATCCTGTTAGAATAAATTATATTAAAACTTATAGAATAAATCTATTGCACAACATTTTTTTATAAAGTCGCAATTGAAAAAAATTTTATTGTCTCAAAATGTGTCAGAAAACACAGGAAATTATATTTAATTTATTTAGCAGAAAGTCATTACAGGGAAAACTTTATGTATAATTATGAAATTAATAACTTTTCTGTTGGACTGGAATAAAAATATGTTTGGTTTTATTATCATAATTTTAAACAAAATATTTTCTTCTCAGACTGGAGCAGAAAATGATAAATTTATTGTAATATTTTTGGTTCATAAAGTCAAAACATTCATAGTTTATTTTAAAAAGACATTTTAGTTCCATTTTTATTTTCACAATGTAGCATCAAACATTTATTATTTTCTATATTTGCCATGTTTGTCTTTCACTTCATCTTTATTTTCTCCACTTTATACCAAAATAACTTTTATCTGCATAAAACAGTTTTATGTCTTTATTAGTCAAATAAATTGATAAATTGATTATTAGAACATTTTAATGTATAATATCTTGGAAATATGGAAAATTCACAGAGTGATCTGTCACAAAAATAGCATAAAATAAATTTTTAAAAGTATATAAATAATTTTATTTCACTATTAAACATAATTATATTGAATTTTCTATATTTAATAAATGAAACATAATTATCAGCAAAAACTGAGGAAAAACAGAAAAACCTTTAAAATTAAATGTTTAGTTTTAGTTTTTATCAGCAGGATGGATCAACAGGAACCAGTCGGCCATCTTGGATCTGACTCTGACCCCTGATGAGACTTTGACTGAGCCGCTCTTCACAGGCCGCTGAGTTTTGGACTAGAACAGAACCTGAACAGAACCAGCAGAGAACTGGTTTAAGTCCAGTTCAGATCCAGTACCAGTACCAGGTTCTGACCCGGTCCATTGTTTCTCTTCCAGGTCGTATTCTGGTTCCGACCAGCTGAGCCCAAATGGAGGTTCTGGTTCCGGTTCGTCCTGCTTCCTGCTGAACTGGACCATCTAATCCAGAACCAGAACCAGAGGAGGTTCCAGTTCTCCATCTGGCCGGTTCTGTGGGTCGGTTCTGGTTCTGGTGGCCCGGCTGCTTCTCTTCATCTTCCTCTAATCATCTTCATCAATAATCAGATTTTAATCTTTGATGTTTGAACCTGAAATAAAATCAATAAACCATCAGAACCTCTACTGTCTTTATGAACTGGATCAGAACCAATGAGATTCTCATCATGGAGGTTCTGTTCCGACCCGGTTCGGTTCTGCAGCCTTTTGGACCCGATCATGTTAATCAGCTGTGATAAAATCACCTTGTTGCTATGGTTACGCACCAGGACAACTATCCATGTGAAACTTCACTATAAATATTTAAAGAAACAATTCAGACAAAATAAAGTTTTAATAAATGAACAGAAAATCCAACATGTCGCCTCAGACGGCCTAGTCAAAGACCTGCAGCCTGACAGACCTGATGACATTCAGCTACTGGACCAAGAGCAGTTGGTCACCTGTCCAGGTGTTTCTGTCTTACTGAGATCTGCAGGTGAACAGGTTCCGCAGGTGAACTGGTTCAGTAGGTGAACTGGTTCAGTAGGTGAACAGGTTCAGTAGGTGAACAGGTTCAGCAGGTGAACAGGTTCAGTAGGTGAACAGGTTCAGCAGGTGAACTGGTTCAGCAGGTGAACAGGTTCAGCAGGTGAACAGGTTCAGCAGGTGAACAGGTTCAGCAGGTGAACAGGTTCAACAGGTGAACAGGTTCAACAGGTGAACAGGTTCAGCAGGTGAACAGGTTCAACAGGTGAACAGGTTCAGTAGGTGAACAGGTTCAGCAGGTGAACTGGTTCAGCGGGTGAACAGGTTCATCAGGTGAACAGGTTCAGCAGGTGAACAGGAAGTCTGATGTCCATCCCGTCTCCAGGTGAGTCCAGATCGGATCAGGGTTCTGACTCGGTTCTTCATGAATCCTCCAGCAGCTCCAGGTGAGAGCAGGTGAGCTGCAGGGGGCGGAGCCTCCTGGTCAGGAAGTCTCTGTCTCCTCGGCTGAAGCGTCTCACCTCTGATGGAGACAGAACCGGATCAGAACCGGGTCGGTCCTGTGGACCGGGTCCAGCAGGTTCTGCTGAGCGTTCCTACCTGCTGAGCTCTGATTGGTCGGCTTCCTGCAGGTGAGGGTCATCTGCTGCCCGATGACATCACCGCTGCAGAGGGACAGCAGGAAGTGCAGCAGGACGTCCTCAGTGTCTCCGTCTGTCCTCTGGAAGAGACGCACCAATCAGATCAGAGACTCACCCGACAGCCAATCAGAGAGCAGACAGCTACTGACCAGGCTCCGCCCCCCAGGGAACACCTGGACGTGACCTCTGACCCTGACCGCCCTCTGGAGCCCCGCCCACTGGGAATCAGCCAATCCCAGCACAGCCTGGACCGGTTGCCCCGACAACCAGACATGAGCTTCAGCCGACCCGTCATCGACCACCAACCTGGAGACGGAACCAGAACCACGGGTCAGAACCAGAACCACGGGTCAGAACCAGAACCAGGACCACGGGTCAGAACCAGAACCAGGACCACGGGTCAGAACCAGAACCAGGACCAGAACCACGGGTCAGAACCAGGACCAGAACCACGGGTCAGAACCACGGGTCAGAACCAGGACCACGGGTCAGAACCAGAACCAGGACCAGAACCACGGGTCAGAACCAGGACCACGGGTCAGAACCAGAACCACGGGTCAGAACCAGGACCAGAACCACGGGTCAGAACCAGAACAGAACCACGGGTCAGAACCAGAACCACGGGTCAGAACCAGGACCAGGACCACGGGTCAGAACCAGAACAGAACCACGGGTCAGAACCAGAACCACGAGTCAGAACCAGAACCAGAACCACGGGTCAGAACCAGAACCAGAACCAGAACCACGGGTCAGAACCAGAACCAGAACCAGAACCACGGGTCAGAACCAGAACCAGAACCACGGGTCAGAACCGGAACCACGGGTCAGAACCAGGACCGGAACCACGGGTCAGAACCAGGACCAGGACCGGAACCAGAACCACGGGTCAGAACCAGAACCAGAACCACGGGTCAGAACCAGAACCACGAGTCAGAACCAGGACCGGAACCACGGGTCAGAACCAGAACCACGAGTCAGAACCAGAACCAGAACCACGGGTCAGAACCAGGACCGGAACCACGGGTCAGAACCAGAACCACGAGTCAGAACCAGAACCAGAACCACGGGTCAGAACCAGAACCAGAACCAGAACCACGGGTCAGAACCAGAACCAGAACCACGGGTCAGAACCGGAACCACGGGTCAGAACCAGGACCAGGACCGGAACCAGAACCACGGGTCAGAACCAGAACCAGAACCACGGGTCAGAACCAGAACCACGGGTCAGAACCAGGACCGGAACCACGGGTCAGAACCAGAACCACGAGTCAGAACCAGAACAGAACCAGAACTAGAACCACGGGTCAGAACCAGAACCACAGGTCAGAACCAGAACCAGAACTAGAACCATGGGTCAGAACCAGAACCAGAACCAGAACCACGGGTCAGAACCAGAACCAGAACCACGGGTCAGAACCAGGACCACGGGTCAGAACCAGAACCAGAACCAGAACCACGGGTCAGAACCGGAACCAGAACCACGGGTCAGAACCAGGACCACGGGTCAGAACCAGGACCAGAACCATGGGTCAGAACCAGGACCAGAACCACGGGTCAGAACCAGAACCACGGGTCAGAACCAGGACCAGAACCACGGGTCAGAACCGGAACCACGGGTCAGAACCAGAACCACGGGTCAGAACCAGGACCACGGGTCAGAACCAGGACCAGAACCACGGGTCAGAACCAGGACCACGGGTCAGAACCAAGACCACGGGTCAGAACCAGAACCACGGGTCAGAACCAGGACCAGAACCACGGGTCAGAACCGGAACCACGGGTCAGAACCAGAACCACGGGTCAGAACCAGGACCAGAACCACGGGTCAGAACCAGAACCACGGGTCAGAACCAGGACCAGAACCACGGGTCAGAACCAGGACCAGAACCACGGGTCAGAACCAGGACCACGGGTCAGAACCAGAACAGAACCACGGGTCAGAACCAGAACCACGGGTCAGAACCAGGACCGGAACCACGGGTCAGAACCAGAACCAGAACCAGAACCACGGGTCAGAACCAGAACCAGAACCAGAACCACGGGTCAGAAACAGAACCAGAACCACGGGTCAGAACCAGAACCACGAGTCAGAACCAGAACCAGAACCACGGGTCAGAACCAGAACCAGAACCAGGACCACGGGTCAGAACCAGAACCACGAGTCAGAACCAGAACCAGAACCACGGGTCAGAACCAGAACAGAACCACGGGTCAGAACCAGGACCACGGGTCAGAACCAGAACCAGAACCACGGGTCAGAAACAGAACCAGAACCACGGGTCAGAACCAGAACCACGAGTCAGAACCAGAACCAGAACCACGGGTCAGAACCAGAACCAGAACCAGAACCACGGGTCAGAACCAGGACCAGAACCACGGGTCAGAACCAGGACCACGGGTCAGAACCAGAACCACGGGTCAGAACCAGGACCAGAACCACGGGTCAGAACCAGGACCACGGGTCAGAACCAGAACAGAACCACGGGTCAGAACCAGAACCACGGGTCAGAACCAGGACCGGAACCACGGGTCAGAACCAGAACCAGAACCAGAACCACGGGTCAGAACCAGAACCAGAACCAGAACCACGGGTCAGAAACAGAACCAGAACCACGGGTCAGAACCAGAACCACGAGTCAGAACCAGAACCAGAACCACGGGTCAGAACCAGAACCAGAACCAGGACCACGGGTCAGAACCAGAACCACGAGTCAGAACCAGAACCAGAACCACGGGTCAGAACCAGAACAGAACCACGGGTCAGAACCAGAACCACGGGTCAGAACCAGGACCGGAACCACGGGTCAGAACCAGAACCACGAGTCAGAACCAGAACCAGAACCACGGGTCAGAACCAGAACCAGAACCAGAACCACGGGTCAGAACCAGAACCAGAACCACGGGTCAGAACCGGAACCACGGGTCAGAACCAGGACCAGGACCGGAACCAGAACCACGGGTCAGAACCAGAACCAGAACCACGGGTCAGAACCAGAACCACGGGTCAGAACCAGGAGCAGAACCGGAACCATGGGTCAAAACCAGAACAGAACCAGAACTAGAACCACGGGTCAGAACCAGAACCACAGGTCAGAACCAGAACCACGGGTCAGAACCAGAACCAGAACCACGGGTCAGAACCAGAACCAGAACCAGAACCACGGGTCAGAACCAGAACCAGAACCAGAACCACGGGTCAGAACCGGAACCACGGGTCAGAACCAGGACCACGGGTCAGAACCAGGACCAGAACCATGGGTCAGAACCAGGACCAGAACCACGGGTCAGAACCAGAACCACGGGTCAGAACCAGGACCAGAACCACGGGTCAGAACCGGAACCACGGGTCAGAACCAGAACCACGGGTCAGAACCAGGACCACGGGTCAGAACCAGAACCACGGGTCAGAACCAGGACCAGAACCACGGGTCAGAACCGGAACCACGGGTCAGAACCAGAACCACGGGTCAGAACCAGGACCAGAACCACGGGTCAGAACCAGAACCACGGGTCAGAACCAGGACCAGAACCACGGGTCAGAACCAGGACCACGGGTCAGAACCAGAACAGAACCACGGGTCAGAACCAGAACCACGGGTCAGAACCAGGACCGGAACCACGGGTCAGAACCAGAACCAGAACCAGAACCAGTCAGAACCAGAACCAGAACCAGAACCAGAACCAGTCAGAACCAGAACCAGAACCACGGGTCAGAACCAGAACCACGAGTCAGAACCAGAACCAGAACACGGGTCAGAACCAGAACCAGAACCAGGACCACGGGTCAGAACCAGAACCACGAGTCAGAACCAGAACCAGAACCACGGGTCAGAACCAGAACAGAACCACGGGTCAGAACCAGGACCACGGGTCAGAACCAGAACCACGGGTCAGAACCAGGACCAGAACCACGGGTCAGAACCAGGACCACGGGTCAGAACCAGAACCACGGGTCAGAACCAGGACCAGAACCACGGGTCAGAACCAGGACCACGGGTCAGAACCAGAACA